GCCATTCCCAGAGCATGCCGCTAGGCGTGCTAACTGAGGTATAGGGTATATCCCGTTCCCGCATTAGGATTTGATAGAAGCCATCCATCAAATCCATGGACGAAAAGATGGTACTCTTTGACATACCATCAATGATGACGTCCTTCCTCGGTATCGGCGTCTGAGCCGGTACCGTTGCAGCGTTCAATTTGTTAAACGCGTGCACTATCCGCCACCCTCCTGTTGCTTTTCGCACACAGAAGGTCGGAGAGCTATGTGGGGAAGTTGATTCCCTCACATGGCCCGCTGCTAAACGATCGGCAAAGAACTTGTCGATCACAAGTACTTGTTCACGAGGCAGTGGCCACTGCTTCATGACACAGTACTTCGAGCCTGGTTTAAGCTCGACTTCGTGTCGAATACCTTTATCCTTCGGTAATTCGCACGGAACAGTTTCAGGGAATACATCCTTGAATTCAACCAAATCTTCATAGAGAGGATTTTCCTTGAGCGATTCCCATGATTGGGACTCATATCGCTCAATTCGTGTCTTTTCATCTAGGACACTCTCGTCCATAGATGAACTACTGAGAACTCTCTCGTTCTCAGTAAACACTGTTGCTGACCTTATGTCGGTTACACACTCGTCGTCAGCGACGAGTATGCAGATCTGCTTGACTTTGCCACTACGCAGATCACGCAAGAACCTTTTATGTTCGAGCGTTGGCAACTGAGTGATCTCCGAAGTTAACTTCGGAGGCGCAATCAGATCAAGTGTATAAGCGCCTACACATGATCCGTTATTGACTATGACATTCAATGTCTCTGTCATTTCCTGGGGACTTATTCCCTCAGGCTTCGAAGGACTTATTCCTTCGTCTTCCCGGGGACTTATTCCCGCGGGTTTCGGGGAACTTATTTCCGCCGTATTTGTAATCTTGGGACTTATTCCCTTTACTTCCTCTAGCTGGGGTTGCGCAACCACAGCGAGATCCTCTACGAAAGACTCTCCAGTCGATCTAGGATTATCGTTTCGCTTAACCTGAGCGATCGATTGTTTCTCTTCTAGATGTTCCCCTCTAGGGATACATCTTTGTCCCAGTCCACCCGACTTATTCGAGTGGTGGACCTTCGGCGCAGCCTGTGTTTCCTCACAGCCGCCGGAACTTTGCTCCGAAGTGTAACCGTTTGGTACACTAAGGTTTTGTGCAGTCGTACTAACGACCGTACCACAAGTGAGGCCATCGCACTCACTCGTAGTACATCCACACGCTTGTGGACGCTCCAAAACGTTCATCAGATGGCCATCTGATGAACAAGCGGCAGGCATCGTTACTGTCCGATGTTGCCAGTTTACCCGTGGTTCGTACCTTCTGAGCCACGGTATTCCAAGGATGACATCAAATTTGTCATCCAAATCCAATACGATAAAGTCATCGTCATATTGGGTATCTTCTAGCGTATAGTGAATCTTCACTATACGCTTCATGACGGTTACGGATGCGCCTGTCGCAAGACGTACCGTCATCCTCGTAGGAGGTGTGTCACATTCACTGAATTTAAAGTGACCATCTTCTAGCGATTGGCGTCGCACAAAAATTGTTAGACGCCCCACAATCGACTAGAGCTCGAAGGGACAACTTATTCGTCACTTCGAGTTTCAAGGTAATGAGTGAGATCTCATTACCTAGAGCAGCAACGCACAACGTCTGTGTGTTGGGAGCAACCTTCATCAAGAGGCCTACAAATTCTCTTGACGTTGCTGGATCAGTAGGGTGCTCCGCACCTACTGATCCTGTCCGTTTTTTGACGGTCCATCCTGTTGTTGCGTCTTTGCACCAACTACGGACCCTCGTCCCTGCCCCTTTCTCATGGGTGGACGGTCACTACGCCCAGTGTCGCGAGACACTGGACGAGGGGCACTACACTCGTAAGCGTAGTGTCCTGTCTTCTGACATCTGTTGCATCTCTGCAACTTCTTGTAGCCTGTAGAGCGAACCTTCTCGCTCTCTACATAACAGAGTTCCATCGGCTCTGGACCTCCGTTGTCATATCGTCTCGGTTGACGATATGATGTCGAGCTGGCGCGAGCCTGTCTCAGACTGAAGTCTTCCTGCTCCGCAATGGAAATGGCTTGTTCTAGTGAATCTAGTTCAAGCCGGAACAGGTGAGTCTTGACGGGACCATCCGCAAGACCCTGCATGAACACCGAAACCAACGTGTGTTCATCCACTGGATTGGAACTTATACAACTCGTAAGATGTCGTATATGTTGAGCGTAAGCGTGCACATCACGCTTACCCTGCTTGAGCTTCAAGAGTTCGGTTCGAGCCCTGAACTCAGCTCTAGGCGGTTCAAACGTTTGTCTGAGCCGCGACTTGAAGACTTCCAACGACCCAAACGCATATGGGTCGTGCAGCTTGAGCCCCAGTGCCCAAGTCTTGGCACGTCCTGCCAGATTTGATTGGGCAAATGCAACTTGCATATCCCCGTCGTCGATGCGACGCGCCCTTATGGCGTCATCCAATTCGACGAACCATCTCAAGAGGGAGTCTTCTTCGACCCCTCTATACTTTGAGATGTCAATCTTCAAAGTCTCGGGCCGACGCGAGTGCATCGACCCGCCAGCAGCAGCCTGCTGCTGTCTCAACAGTTCAAACTGTTGAGCACCTTGTTCTCTCAACAACTCTGCTTGTTGAGAACCTTGTTGGTGAAGCAAGGCTACTTTCTCGCGTTCAGCGTCAAGTTCATTTTGGATGAACTTGGCGATAGTAGCATGTTGGGCGTCTCTATTGAGAGCCTCTAGCATGACGCTAACAGCATGGATGCCCATGGTCGAACCCATTCGTTCAACCGCATCCCATTCGACATCGCTCAAATGGGAGTAGCCGTCACGCGTAGCGTGAAAGCTTTGGTCATCTTCATCATCCAACATATTCATGTTGGATGTGAACGCGGTCCTTGGACGGACTACGAAGTGCTACCAGGTGTATCGGGGCACCCTGAAGCTTGTACTGGTGACAGTACAAGCTACTTATTCTGATAACAGAATAAGGCGGTGCCTCGTAACTTCACGTACACTCGTACGTGCAGAGGAAGACGGTAAGAAGAAGCGAGTACTTGGTTAGAGTAAAAAGTAGAACTGTATTTATAATAGTTAATGTCTGCAATAAATCACTATTTATCTTCATCTAACTATGTCTAAATACAAATGTGTAAATCAATTATCTGCTCACCACTCATTGCGTGCGTCTGTCGTGGCGCGTCTTCGTTGGTTGATATAATGGCCTATATCAACCAATTAGGAACTACTTGTAAGTGCTACAGAATATTTGTCCTTATGACAATATTCTGAGAATATAACTCTTATAGTTATATTCTAATAACAATTTCTTATAAATTGTTATGTAACGATTCACCCCGTTACAGCCTACGTGCCAGTCGCGATGCGTCGTAGCTAAGTGCGTCCATATTACTGGGGCGCCGCGCATGCCGCGTCCGAGATCTAACGCGTACAACACGCTATCGATAGCTCCTCGTAGCCGCTCGTTTTCGTGGATCGACATTTGCGACGCCTCGGGCGCCTGCATACGATCCGTGAGCGCGTGAGGCATCGTGAAGGCCCTATCATCTGTACTCGCATCCCTTTCGTGGGCTTTGGCGTAAAAGAAGACAACTGGCTCTTGCGTGGCCCTTCCGCGGTCGCAGGCAGCAGGAGCAGGAGTCAGGTCATTGATCGTTGGCAAGGCTGAATTTGGGCTCATATCCTGTTCTTAATCGAGGACTTGCGTGTTAGAAACGATCGTGTTTGACAGGTTCGAGGTTCAAGGGATATACCATGTGACGGTCTCACCTGATTGGCCAGTGGTGTTATCAGGTGACATGTAGGACCACGAGGAGACGATCGGACAGATGGGACAGGAAGAGACAGGGCGAAGATGTGACAGATGGGATGGCTAGGTGGAAACTTGACGGTAGGGACTAGGCGATACCGTTGCAATATGTGACCGACGTACGGGGTAAAAAAATTATTATGCTAGTTTAGGTAAAAATTGAAAAAAGCCTAAGATAGGATAAGAGAGGGTAGAGTTAGGTCGACCAAGAGGAACAAGAAAGTGTCGATAATTGTAACGGGGCACCCTGAAGCTTGTACTGGTGACAGTACAAGCTACTTATTCTGATAACAGAATAAGGCGGTGCCTCGTAACTTCACGTACACTCGTACGTGCAGAGGAAGACGGTAAGAAGAAGCGAGTACTTGGTTAGAGTAAAAAGTAGAACTGTATTTATAATAGTTAATGTCTGCAATAAATCACTATTTATCTTCATCTAACTATGTCTAAATACAAATGTGTAAATCAGTTATCTGCTCACCACTCATTGCGTGCGTCTGTCGTGGCGCGTCTTCGTTGGTTGATATAATGGCCTATATCAACCAATTAGGAACTACTTGTAAGTGCTGCAGAATATTTGTCCTTATGACAATATTCTGAGAATATAACTCTTATAGTTATATTCTATTAACAATTTCTTATAAATTGTTATGTAACGATTCACCCCGTTACAATAATGAACCGGTCGGTGCGAAACATGGCGACCGACCAGCGTAAATCCGGGATGGATGTAGCTTGCACACCCCCCACATAGCGTAGTGAAGTTTTCAATCAAGTCGATGGGTCCGTAAACCCAGATCTAGACAGACGCACTCGGGTCGGGACCCCCAAATAGGCAAATTCGAAACCAGAAATCGGGCGGAACGTAGTGGCCCCAAGAGGCACACACACGCCATTGTAGAACAATTTCGCATCATAGAGAGGTGGAAGTAAATCGTTGGAAGGTCTTAAACCCCGCAATTGTCACAAAGTAAGCGCGAAACTCGAGCTGATGGAAAATCCGATACTATAAATCGGGCGTAACGTAGTGATCCCAGTTGGGACACACACTTACTCCCGAACCAAACCGCGCCAAACATAAGTGTGGGTAGATCGGAGACAGGCGGCAACCCCAGCAAAGAAATTGAGATGGGAGGGTTCTTCCCGCCGGAAAAATCAGCCCACAAGCTGACCCGCAAGAATGGACAGAGGAAAACTCCCTCACACCTGCGAACGGAGGGGTCGACTCAGCCGAGCCAGGCTTGGGTTGGTAGACAGGATAGAGGCCATTCGACCGAGGTGAAGGCGAACATAAGCCGTCCCTCGACTAAGAGGCACCAGATGGGAGGACGGGGCTACTTGGAAAATCTGGTCATTTCAATGTATACACAAAGGGTAGAAGACCGAGCAGCAAACCACGTTAAGCGCCTTGAGCAGGTTGTGAAGGGTATGGCCCTGAACAGACGTCTCTGTGAAACGGACGTCCCGTAGATAGAGCACGTGTGGCCAAGTGATCAGCCCGTCGACGAGGAATCCGAAAAGAGTAAGAAGTGGGGACTATACCGCCAGAGCAATAGGGCAGTCCCACACTAAATGTCGGGTTGACTTAACGGTAGCACACCCGTGGGGACAACAGACATCAGTCGTATGGTAGGCATGTTTGCGACGTACCCCCAGCGCGTTGTGCTGGAGCCAAAATTTCAGATCACTCAGAACAGGAAGCACGAAGCGGTCCAGGGAGAGTTTGAGTTTCCAGAGGGCAGCCCAATCTGGCGCGGCCGTGAGGTCATGAGCAAGGTGAGGCCAACGGGGAATAACGGGCAAGGTATGGAGCATGTGGTACAGTCGGCGATTGCTGAGACGGATGAGCAAAACGCCTTGGAAGGACCACCCATGAAAGGCGCTACACAGAAGATCCGGCATGGGCGGCCCCCGCACCATAGGTAGGGGGTGTCAGTCCCCAAGACTCAATCTTGGAGAGGAAGTGGGAGGCAGCAAGGGCCCGGAGGCGAGGGCTGGCAAAGTCTTCAGTCGCCAAAATGTCGCGACACAAAGCCAGATCTGGAGGACGGCCAATGTGAAGGAGATAATTTCGCGGCTGTAAAAAGCCAAGGTCGCGGAAACGGAGCGCCAGAGAAGACGAGTCCTCCAGCAAGCGACCAAGCGTAACAACTGTGTACCGAAAATTGCGTCAAAGAGGGGTATCGATGGCATACTGAGCGTATGCAGTAGTGTTGTGGGAGGATGCACGAAGCCTTTGCCAAGTTTGCAAAGTAGCGAACCAGAACCGACCCAAAAGAGACCATCGAAGAGGGGGGGGGGCACAGAGCGGGACACTGGAGAGTACAGGATGTCGAAGCCCGAACCGGCAGAATGGAGGTACCCGGAGAAGAGAGTAAGGCAGGGTGCGCTCCAGCAGAAAACGCGAGACGGCTGTCCAGCAGAAGAGACCGCATCTTGGAGAGAACAGAGCTGAAGGGTCCGAGCAAAGGTCTTTACATGGGGTAGACCCAACCCACCTTAGGACGTCGGCCAATACAACCATTCTTTCGACGTGGGGCCCCAAAATGAGGTGGAGGTGGAGATATCAAGCTTGAACATAAACGTCTTGCAGAGGTTCGTGACTTGAGTGGCCACCAGAGGAGGAATTATTAAACCGCCGCCGTATGCCTAAGCAAGGGTAGGACAAGGGTGCGAAGAATAGCAGCCCTCCCACGGAGAGAACATGCGCGGTACCGCCACAGGAGGCAGCGCGAGACCGTGAGCGGAATGAGACGATCGTATATCCGGGACAGAGGGAGACAAGGACTTTAAAAAACTCAAGCAAGACAGTGGACTCCATGTCGCCGACCACCGAGAACCCCAGATCACGCAGGTGCCCACTAAGAGCTGGATCACAAGCTGAAACGGCAGAATAACAGCTTTCGACACGTTGAGGCGGAGACCCGCCGTGGAAGCATAGCGGCTGACGGCATCAACGAAGCGGGGCACCATCGCCAGATCCTCGAGGACGCCGGTGCAATCATCCGCGAAAGCCATAATATGGTGGTGGACGGGGTCGGTAGGGACGCGAGTACCAGCTCGCTGGTTGTCTCGCGTAAAAATTCAGCATCGGTTCGATGAACAGAACAAACATAGCAGGCTACAGAGGATCGCCTTGGCGGACCCCACATCCCAATTCGAAGAAGCGACTGGACCGACCATTCACCAGCACTGTAGCCAGAGTGCCGGAGTAAAAAGTCCGAATAGCATGGAGGAAAACCTGGCTGAATCCCAGGTGACGAAGAGCAAGGTCAAGAGCCGGCCAAAGCACGCTTTCATAGGCCTTGGCGAAGTCAAGCAGGACCGCGCCCGCACGCGACCCACCGGACTGGGAACAGAAAGTTTGAAGGTCTTGGAACCGAATCATGGAGTGACGAATGGACCGTCCGGGGACGAAGCCAGTTTGGTCGTCGTGGACAATGAAGGGAAGAATTTTTCCCAACCAATGAGCCAATATCTTCGGTCCAAACTTGGCATCGTGGTTGAGCAAAGTGATCGGGCGGTAGTTGCCTGGATCACATCGATCCCCTTTCTTGAAAAGCACGCACGGGGCTGAAACTTGGTCATGCAACCATAGCGAAGCTGGTTAACGTAAACGAGTTCAAAGACCCGCGCACATCTGTGCGGGGATAGTTGATAGTATTCAACTGGCAGTTCATCAAGGCCGCTGGACCGGCCTTTTGGCGACGTCTTTATCGCCCAGTAGAAGTCGTCAGCAGTCATTGGTGCATCGAGGAAAGCGCGAGAAGCAGAAGAAACATACCCTGTCGTATACCAGAGCAATCGGAGAAGCTCCAAAGGTTGGTAGACCGGAGGCGGAAGAGTAGAGAGGATATCCCGGGACGGGATCCAAAATAGCTGACCCCAGAATGTGCGGTGGATGTCGACCGTCTCGGCGGGGTCAGGTGTCGAAGAGCCATCCGACCGCCGGGCACTTGGGATGGAGACCCGAAGGTCGACACTTGAAGGCGGGCGAAAGAATTACGATGATACCGACTCGCCATCGCTGACGTCACGGTCAAAGTTAACCTCCTCGCAGCGAGACTCTGTATAGGACTTTTGAACCGCTAGGGCATCTCGGTAAGCCAGTAGGTGGGTAGCGGAAGTAGGCGAGCCCGCGCTCGCGTGAGCCGAAGTAGCCGCATGAAAATCCTGGGTAAGCGACCGTTCAACAGCGGCATCCGAGTTCTTGAATTCATGAAATATCTGGCGAAGAAAGATGGCATTGGCACGCTTGTGCTCGTCAAGGACAGCCCCCGGATTGTCCGTAATCCCAACACGGAGGCTCCGACTCATGGCGTCAATGGTGCACCCTTGACGCCATTAGTCGGAGCCTCCGTGTGCGGTCGAGGATTGAGGAAACAATCGGTTGGCGAAGCAGCCACCGTGGGCATTTCCACGGGAGCCGAGACCGCCCCGAATGCAGAGGAGATTGGATACAGAACTCCACCGGAAGGTGGTCAGCGTGATGCCGAACCTTATCTAAAAGATGCTCGATACTGATCAAGTAGTCCTCCAAGATCTCGGTCGACGTAAATTCATAATCAATGCGATTATGGCGACCCGGTCCGGTATACTTACGTCTCTGTGGATGAAAGGCACACCAAGCGTCCACTACGCCTAGACGGAGCTGCCAATCGAGAAGCTCCGAGACACCGACAGAGGTGCGTGTAGCAGTGAGTCCGTCAAGCGATGGGTCGATAGGCACACAAAAATCGCCCATAGCAAAATGGTGGCAGCCGTTCGGAAAGGACTGGGGCAGTTCGTGAAAAAAGCGACGGCTGTCATCCCCTGACACCGGTGCATAGACGACGTGGAAGAAGAGGCGGAATGAACCGATGGAGGCTCCGATCACGAGGTACCGGTTGGGTGGCAGCGTAGACAACCCGGTATATGCGTCGGTGACGTCAGCGAGAGTGTCGAACGGGTGATCACCGCGAAAGACAACACCAACGCCATCGTGGCCACGCGAGCTTGAATAGTCCGAGAGCGAAGTGTGCGACCAAAATGCGCACGCTCGGGAATCCGCAATGTGAAGAAAAAATTGGCGACGGACAGCGTTGAAAGATTTAAATCTGGTTTCTTGAAATGCGCAAACAGTGTAGGAAGCGAGGAGGGTACTAAAGAGGTGCTTGTACGAAGATTTGAGACCGTTGATGTAAACGGACAAGCCCGAAAGCGTCCACGGTGACTCGGAGAGAGTTCTCACTGTCAGAGTGAGAACCCGTCTCGGAGGTCATTTCGTCGTCAGAGGAGGAACGGGTGAGTGATATTGAAGCCTCCACGTGAAGCGGCAGCCGGTCGCCGAAGGCCTATGGAAGAGCGGTGTGACAAAGTGCATGGAGCATGTTTTCAGACCAGAGTAGAAATTTGGAGAAGACGAGGCAGTCCGGGTTTCGATCCCCGTGACCGCGGCGACTATAGGGGTCATTGTAAGTCCGCGCCGCCTGAGTACAGAAGAAGAGGTACACGGAAGCGTAGTCTTGAGCAATGTCCCGCTCGGGCTTGGCAGGGTAGACGTGATTCAGGATGTCAGCAGCACAAGGACTGCTTTCCGAAAAGTCAACCTTGATCCAAAGAGCAAACTGGCGGGTGGAAGAATGAGACGAGGCAGGAAACCACTGTAAGCCCGAAGAAAAGCGTGTTCCGTTAAGACACGGGAGCTAGTTACGGTGGCCTCACGCAGGGCCTGATCAATGACAAGAGGCTGTGCCGTATTAGACGCAAGGCGTGATATCAGGTCGCCAGAGGCGAGGAACTCAGCCTGCGCCTTAGCGGCCATGCTGAGGAAGCGAGAACGGTTGGTAGCCGTCCGGTGAACCTCCAGAAGTGATTGAGCTGAAATCAGTCGGCCCAATTCGAGCGACGGTTCCACAGGAGCAACCGCGGATGAGTCCCCAAGGAAAGCATCGACGTCCACGTCGTCGCAATCATCCGCAAAGCAAGTTCAAAAGCAGTAAGAGGAGCAGGGATGCCAAAAATTGTGCGGCCGTCCTCCACAACGGTGGCGGTGCACCCAACGGTCACCGGAATTGGCCGCGAGTCAGGGTTACAACAGCAAACAGGGCGCGTGGCAGCATTCAAGAAGCGAAGCCGTAGGCTCAGGCTTTAAGAGGTCAATGCAGACCTCGCCCGAGGGCGGGGCGGGCGCAGTTGGTCCTGAGCCAGGGGCCGCCGCCTGAGTGGACGGGGCAGTGGAAGAGCGGGCGGCGAGGTCCAAAGCGCGACGAGCTTCGGCATCCGCCGCCGCCGCCTGTCGCTCCAAGTCGGGGCGGACAAGGGAAGGAGACTTAGTGTTGAGGGAGCGCTGTTTGTGCTGGACAGACACGGGGTCCGCGAAGCCATAAAAAATCTCCCGGATAGCCGACCCATCAGGCAGCAAAAGAGAAGCAGGGCATTCCTCCGTGGTGCACCAAATGGTGCGGTCACGAGGGATCATGCTGCCGACCTTGTGGGTAGCCGTGATGAGGACGTGAGCCTACGACTGGTGAAGAAGTCGAAGATGGCGTCATCGTCCAAGTCGGACGGGATTCGGGTGAGGTTGAGCTTGTAAAGACGCTCGTAGAGGCTGAACTTCTCGATGATGTGCGTACCCCCAAAGATACGCACGGTTGAACCCCCCAGTTTGACGGCAACATTACGGGACGTACACGTGAAGCGCACGCCCTTGGACGGGATGCGAATGAAGTCGCAGAGGGTGGTAAGAGAGTCCTTTCATAGCGCAGCTTGGTCTTCCGTGTGGATGGAAAGCATGATTTCATCCAGTTGAGAGGCTCCAGCGACAGTGCCGCAAGGAATGAAAAGCTTTAACTTTTCGGAGACAGCAACGCGCGCGCGTTGGACGTCAAGCATCGCGATGGACCTGAAGTCCGCAGGTGGCGCATTGTTAGCGGTCGCTTCTTCCAGCGCCTGGAAGAGCGAGTCGGCAGGGACGTAGCGGTCGACCCGGCGGGACGACGGTGTGGCAGAGGGAGCGTTACGACCGGCTCGGCGAGCGGTCGACGAACCGGCAGTAACAGCGTTACTACCAGCTGGTGGGCGTGGAAGAGACCGAGAAGTCATGGCTGACAGGGCGAGCTTGACGACGAAGAGACGAAAGTGTAGAGTCGAAGTCGGTCGCGAAGTGGACAGACCGTAAAAACGCGTCAACAAAAGTCTGGACGAGGGAAAAACAGGCGGAGCGAGAAGACGACAGGCGGGAAAGGCGAGGCGTCGAGGGTTGCAGTTACGAAAAAAGGACCGTGCAGTGTGATTGTCACTTGTGCACGATGGGGTATATTCGGAACTGCGATCGACGTACGGGATGTGCAGGAAAGACGGATGCCATCAGGGAGGTACATGGTTAAGTTGCAGTGCAGTTGTGGTGCATGTTGTAGCATTGACGAAGGACAATAGTTAATGCTAAAAATATTTTACTTTTACTTCTAACTACCTCTGCATAAGTGCACAGCAAGCATCTAAAACTTACATTGCGCAGCATATGGTAGAATGGGAACTGAGACCTAGAGTGTGCTCCGGTCTGAACTCTCTAAATTTCACACTAGCTTCCTTACCTATTGCGCTTGCTGCGCGTCGTCCGCTGGCAGCCGTTGCTGCCCACCCCGCTTCACGCTGATCCTAAAGGACGCACACGTAACGTTGTAACTAAACGCTGCGTCATTTTTACTTTTTCTCCTTCACGCATCGAGAGATCGACACACGCTGTCTCTCTGTGCAGCGCCTCTGCTCATGCGACACCGTCTATCTTTAACATGACGGAGTGCTTGGGAAACTCACGTATCAAGAGCAGTTTGGAGTATGCAAGTGAGCAGGGCCGTGCGGCCAGGAGGTAGGCAAAACTTGATGGCAGGATCCTTTTACCACATTTGTAACGGGGCACCGGAGCGTTACACTGAACAACCAGTGCGGAGCTACTATCACCGAAAGCAGCGTTAGTGGTGTCTTGCTGCCTCTGTTAACTCGTCGGAGGAAGGGACAGCAACTAGAAACAGACTAGTTGCTGGTAAAAGTAAAACTGAATAGAACATCGTGAAGTCCTGATTGTTACCCCATGTTTCAATCGTAACTTAAAGTATATCTATTTACAAAAATAGGTGCTGAACTCTTGCTCACATTGCGCGCGTGCATCACTTATTGGACCGCTAGAACTGACTGGTGTGATGATTTATATCAGCCAATCGGTGAGTGTTTCTGGATATTACCCCTCTTGGTAATATTCACAGACAGGATCATCCGTCGTGATAATATTCTAATTAACAAGTATCAGGGCCAACTACATGCAACAGACTCACTCCGCTACAACAATGCTCACCCATTTAAGCATGGCTGATTAGTAAATGCTAACCTTCGACTTCGATTGTCACTATCTCACTCCCATAATCATCTCTTTCGGTCGGATACACTGCCGAAAAGGGGTCCAATAGGTTCACATCCCGGCCTCACTGCCCCCGCGCCTTCGTTTTTTTGTGTCTCGCAACATTTCGTCACATTTGCACCACAACTCCCACATTATTTACGCCACATCAACATTTCGCTCTTCGATCCGTAAAAATGACGTTTCCAAGCGAACCGTCTGCTTCAACATATCACAAACATTTTGCGTAGTCCGTCAGACCCGCCAAGAGTCCAATGGAGTGCCATGTCGTGGCTTTCGGCTGCAATGACGACGGACAGCTGGGCACGGGCGCCAAGCGCCGACAGACTCTGGCCATCGACGACGTCTCGGCTTCCAACTTTCCCCAGCAACTCGACAGTTTACGCGCTGAGGACATCGCTGCCGTCTCTTGCGGCTCTCGTCATACGATGGCGCTTACTGCCAATGGGGCCGTGTACTCGTGGGGATGGGGATCGGTTCGTACCAATGAAAATGGACCGCTATTGCTGTTGGCGGTGTAACTTACATCACGTGTTTGTATGTGGTTTCCTGTGATGTAGATGGGCCAATTGGGCCACGGAGACCTCAAGTGCATGAACGTGCCCCGGAAAATCGTCTTTTTCGAGGAAAACCGCCTCGTGGTTAATTACATCTCCTGTGGAGGTTGCCATTCTGCTGCAGTGACCACTGATGGTACGCTGTACATGTGGGGCGAGACGCACTGGGGTCAGCTGGGTCTGCCAAAAGAGTCCGACGCGTTGCATGAGTCACTGCCAGTCAAGTGCTCTCTGCCAGAGAGTGAAGATGGTGAGCACGTTGTGCAAGTCAGTTGTGGAGGAACGCATACGGCTGCACTGACCAACCTGGGACGTGTGTTCGTTTGGGGACGAGGGGACAGCGGTCAGCTGGGTATTGGTTCAGCGTGGCTGAACGATGCAGACGATGACGGTCTCATGGGGGTTAGCCGTCCGCATTTGCTGGACGGATTCAATCGTGAGAAGGTCACACAGGTCACATGTGGGGCGTTCTACTCGGCTGCTTTGACTGAACAGGGACACGTTTATATTTGGGGAAAAGAGGACTACGGCATGCTTGGTATTGGACAGACTTCTGACCAGCAGACACCGAAGCGCGTCGAGTTTTTCGACAACATTCCAGCACTGTACGTCATGTGCGCTCTTGTGTGGTTCAGTTTTGTGTAATGGATATCATGGTGTCTACAGGCAAGTATCTTGCGGCGGCTGGCACACAGTGGTGGTGGCGAAGTCAGGAGACTGCTACGCCTTCGGACGAGGTGAATACGGTCGCCTGGGTCTCGGTGACGCAAAGAGTCGATTGCAGCCCCATTTGGTAATCACGTCATAGCATGATGGATCAAGTGATGGTTGCTAACCTTTCGAGTGTTCACTTTGTACACAGGTGAAGGCCCTTCAAGGCACAAAAGTGATTCAGGCTGCGTGCGGTGGCTCACACACCTTATTCGTTACGAGTGACGGCAACATCTACGTTGCTGGACGAGCTGAGTGCGTTCCCAAGTGCCTTTGTACACAAAACTGACCAACAAACTCACCACGTCATTGTGTGTTGTTGCAGCCATGGCCGACTCGGCTTGACAGACATGAAAGCGATGTCGGTTCCCACACAGCTAGAGCTTGGTCCGATTCCTGTCGTCCAAGTATCTGCCGGAGGTGCACACTCTGTCGCTGTGATGCACAGCTCGTGACGCATTTCATTTGCAACGATGCTGGAAATCTCGATTGACCGTCCTGTTCTTCCGCGTACCAAGCAATAAGCTAAAGCAGTCATTTTTCTACGAAAGCTACTGACCCGATCAGCCATTCGATGTCAGGCCGTGCCGTATCGATGTGAGAAGTTGTCGCGCATGAGCGACACGATTTCGCTCTTCCCTCCCAAAGTGAATAAAACCCACCCACCCACCTTTATCACGAGCCGTTATTTACGGAAAGGTATTTATCTCATCGCAATGAGCAGCCACGATGGAATGGCTTCGCACGACCACAGTACGTGGTTCTCATCGCAAACGGTCAAGCTGACCCCGCACTGCTGCATCGAACACACCACTGAGAAGTCCTTCGTCCTCCGACTGCAGACACATGAAGAACAAGCAGCGAGCAGTGGAGACACGCGCACAAGTGACAACCGCGCGACCCACGCGCTGCGTTTGACTCAAGATGAAGAATACGCGGGTGGCAGGTCCGATAGTGACGTGAGCAAGACGTTGGCAGCGCTGTATGCAGAGTCAGAACGCAAGAAACAGTGGCTGGACAGTGAGGAGAAGACGTTCCAATGCGGTCAACAGCGACTGGGCAGTCTCCAGCGAGAGTATGCGGCGCTCTTACGGACACTGGAGCAACGCAAGAGACGCCGGAAGGAGCGACTTTGTGTGCCAAAGTTGCTTCGAGGAGGACCTCGGAATGAGAGTCGAGAACGTGATTGTGACTGTGCAAACACTTATAGCTATGGCTGTAGTGATAGTGACGACAGCAGTTGCAAGGACAAGCGACTGGCTCGACGCAGTTGCAGCAGCTGTACTCAAAGCTGTCGACCGCGACGTGATGGAGCCAAGAGGGAGCGAGAACGACTGCGTCAATTTCGGCGCGAAGTCTCGCTCCGCTTCCAGCTCCTCGAGTCGGAGTGTCGCGAATCCACGCTCCAAATGGAGAAAATCGTCGCGGATTTGCGGCGAGAATACGCCGACTCGTGTCTCTTTGGCACGTCGTTGAAATTCTAGTGACGAGACCGCATGGAGGTGCTGCAAAATAGGCATTTATTTTCTCATCGCCACGAAGGAAAAAATAGGTAACAAAAAATGGGTCAATGTGAAGGTAAGTTGTCGTAAATTTTGATCAAGGAGGAAAAACCTCGCGATCTGCTCGACCAATCAACGTGCGTATCCAGTGCAATAATTGCGAATGTGGACGTCCGACACGGAGCTCCTGGACCTGCGCGAGGTCCGACGTCGACGGGAAGCGTACGCTCGAGCGCTGGACCACCAGATTGAGCAGCGCCGCTCGCATCACCAGCAGCAGCAAAAGGAGGAGGAGGAACTGGAGCGCAAACTCGCGCCGAGCGAGCGCGCGCCGTCCAAGTGGCTGGTTGAAGGTGGTCACTCGGACCTGCCAGCGACTGCGGCATCGCCATCGTTGGCCCAGAGCGATGGTCTTTGCGGTGAGAAGAGACAGGAGCGAGGCGTGAATACGGAGGAAGTGACTCGTGCGGCGCTGTCGCACCCGCGGTTCCGAGTCATTGACGAGCGCGAGGCGAGCGAGAGGCTGCGTGGACGTGCGCAGCAGATGCAGTGGAAACAGATCTTGGACGAGCAAGTGCGGGAGAAGAGGAGGCTGAAGAAGGAGGAAGAAGAAGCGAGGAGACGAAGGGAGGAAGACGAGGTGAAGGAGGATGTGCGCTGCGTTGAGGAGCAAAAGCAGCAGCAGCAGCAGGAAAAACGAGGACAGTGTGTATCTGAAGAGGCACGTGATTCCCGGGCCGGACCTTTGCACTATGCATTGTCGTTACCGCCCGAGGTTGTGACAATGAAACGACAGCTGAACGATGCTGGACCAAATCCATACAACAGGGAACCTGACCGTGGTCAACGTGAGGATGACTATGTGTTGTTGGATCGTCACAGACTTCAGCCGAGTGGAAGTCCAGATATTGCAGCAGGCCAATTGCCTTCTCACACGACCTTGCGAATGCAAATGTCACGAGAAGGTAAACGAAGTAGTGAAAACGACGAATACCGCGATCTGTTTGATCGCAGCGAACGCACTAGAATGGGTGACCGACAGCTACCTTGCGGTGATGATACTACGCCGAACTCACAGCAGCCCGTGATTGGGCCAAGGCGCATAATTGATGAGTACCGCTCGCTGCTTATGGAGATTCGTCGTGAACGCGAAGAACTTCGACGTGATCGGGATGACGTACGACGTGAAAAAGATGAGTTGCGCGTGCAGCGTGCGCTGTTGCAGCTTGAAAATGAAAAAATGGCTTGTTTGGTGGATGCACAAAGGGCGCTCAATGAGCAGCATCAGGCTGATCTTCATTCGCGGCTGGCGCAGAAGATTCAACAACCGCGGCAGTACCAGGAGCCGGCGAAGCAGCATCGATTGTCACCGATACAGGACAGTGTGTGCGGGAGTTTCGATCTTCTGAATCATCAAGGCCGCGTGTCTGGAACGAAGGTGTACTCGCGACTGAGCCAGATTCGCCAGGGCCTCAGCGATCTAAGTATGCACGACGAGCATCCTCAGCCAGCTATGCAAGCGCGACGAAGAAATTCACCAAGCCCAATGTCCATGGCAGATTTTGTAGCGCCTACACCTAACAAACGAATGACCAACGACTTTGTGTACTCACCAGACTTCCAGCAATCGTCACAAAACCGCTCCACTTCGGCGGTGACAATCGAAAACGACGGTAACGAGATGGACCGGTCTCTGGCTGGCGAGAGCGTCTTTGTCCCACTGAGTCCCAATTCGTCGAATCACATCAACAACGGACCGGCATCGCGGACTGCTTCTCCCTTGACATCAGACATCAATAGTTGTCCTACGAATTATCTTGAAGGCAGTCGCGTGATAGAAAGCCGGGGCTTTTACGACTTCCACCAGAAGTCTAAGAGTCGTGAAAAGGCTGACATTTTCGTCAATGGATCAATCACTGGTAGCGGTATCGCTTTGGATCATGATAGCAGGTCTGATGGCAATGATGCCGGTAACGCAGAGGACGAGCTCAGTCAGTCGACGACGATAGCGGAGCCATCACGCTTAGCAGCCAGCAGCAACTTTGTCCAGGGACAAGGCCTGTAAAATGAGACGATGTCCAGAACCTGGACTCAGTCAATCAATCGTCTCAAAGCACTGCGATTCGCCACGAGCTTCCAAATGTGCTATGGAAGAGCGTTTAAGGCGTAGTCCTGCTTTGTGATACTGTTTTCTTCTCAAGGTAGGCACAAAAGGCCAGCCTCCTTGTGTAGAGTTGGCGACACGGCATCACTGACTTCATTCAAAATACAACTCGCCGCGACGGGAGTCGGCTGTACTTTACACTGGTCAATGGAACTCACAAAATAAAACATGACAAGCGTATTAAGCACAACGCGTATGGTTCCAGCCACCCAGTCCCACTCGTTCAGCACGAATAGTACGTCAATTTTTACACATACCGAGACGTCCCAAGTCCTCACAAACAAGTTGACAAGACCACTCCCTACCGTCCTAGGTAACAAATCGGAGATTCAACGTACCCAGCGACAATCTTCCAATGGCAGGACGACAAATTTGATTTACAGACTTTGACCAACACGCTGATTTTTACCAGTTTATGTATTCGAAGTGCCTGCGCACGTCGCATAGTTTCGAGTGTTTTACACCAATGTTTGTGGTGCTGGAGAGCGCGTAGCCATGTCATTTTTCTGAAAATGAGCTTCCAGTTTCCCGTGGCGAGCGAGGAGAAGCGAAAAGTGCAGGTCTTTGACTGTCCCACCGAGACGTGGAAGGAGCGCAAGCCGCGCTTTAACACGGTTCGTACTGGAAACGCACGTTTCTATCGGACTGTTCGTTGACTGTCGTGACTTTTGGACTGGTTTTTGTGTCGTGGGGGTAGAGCAAAAGCCAATCGAAGGACGAGGAAGTGGAGCTGACGCTGCGGCAAGCGATTCGCAACGAATTCGATGCCACTTTCGAGTCGGTGCTGGAGTTCAGTGAGTGTCTATCGCTGACCTGCAGAGTAGTTTGGTGCACGTGCAGTTATCACTGACAGGTATTCTTTTGATTGTCGCGCTCATCGTGTGGTCCAGCTACTTCGAATTTGAAAGGCAGAGAGAAGAAGAAGCACGAGGAGGAAAAGGTTCAAGCGCTTGGTGGCAAAGCTGTCGGTAACCGGAAAGTGCCGTACAAAGTGCTCATTGGGATGAAGACAAAGGGTGCAGCTCGGAAGCAGCGCCGTGAGGACTTGGTGCGTGCATATTCCCACTTTGTTAAACGTTATGCGGTGGTTCAAAAATGGCTGATGAATTCTTGGTGGTTGCTGGATGTGCAGATGAAGGAGTCCGACGTGCTAACGGGGAAGCGGAGATCAAGCAGCAAGGCGAAAGTCCAGCAGAAGGGAAGAAAAACCGATTTTGGTTTGCAGGCTACCAAGGGACGCTTCAAGGGTGGCGTGCTGGATGTTCGTGGTCTGTAGTGCAGTTACTTCCGCAGCAGGTGTTTGCACTGTTCGGGTCAACGTCGTCTCGAGCTTCAGCAGAGCGATCAGACGGATCAATAGTCTTCTGGTATTGGCGACTCCAGTGTACGCATGGGGTATCCTGTGTGTAAGCCAGAGTAACATTCGCTTGTTCTGTCCAATATCCTGCAACCGCTAAGCGTTTGATCGACGCATCTGTCACTGTTATTGTTGCACAAGATGTCCGTAAAGACAAGCTGAATAGAAACAAAAATATGTGGCCATGTGCCGCTATCCACATATACTGCCAATGTTAGGATCCGATATACACATACTTTAGCAGCTTCATCAGGTCGACACTGAGAAGTAAAGGGGTGTACCGCTCGTTTACACCACATCAGTTACCAACTTGTTACATTGCGACAAGGCCATCAGGAGTCTTGGGTCAGCACGCAACAGGCGACATCGGAAAAGCGCGACGCCCTCAAAGCTCAATAAGCAAATAGATAGTGTTGATGCTGGCATGAAACATCCACAGCCAATAGATAAAAGCATTTGCCTCCAAGGAGCTGCAAGTCGATAATGAGAGCCACAACACCGCTAGACCCACTCATATAATGCGATTACCGATGAGCGCGAGCGATTTCGATGGACCACTTGCTGCTTACGAATCCACTGCCGGAACCCAAAGGTTCCGTCACTACCAATGGAAACACGGACCTCGCTGGCAAGGTCCAGATCATCATCGATAACAACGCACGAGCCACAATCGCTTAGCGGTTTCGCACCGGCTTCGCGCGGCTCGAGCTCCAGGGATCTAGAATACCGGGACTCCTCGGAAGCATACGGCATTGAGACATGCAGTAATACCTGCAATGCAGTCAACAAAAGAGGTAAGAACTCGATCGTAATGACGTCGTGTGTGCTGATAAGTATCGTACATCAATCCTTTCATCGTTCGGAAGCGCGTAAGCAACCGATTGGCGGTGCAGGATTTCCATTGCCAATTCACCCATTCGTCGCAACCGAGTCCCATTCACCAAACCATCGTTGCCAAAAGTAGGCAACTCGTTCAGTCCAACAAAGCCCTGAACAAACCACTAGCATCAGCCAGATCCCAATTCTCCACCAAACTATGCGCTGCACTGCACATCTCACCTGGAGGTACAATCCGATGTAAGGCATACATGGGTTGGCTGCGTTCCTCATAAGCTGATTCATCTCACGACAACCCTTGTCTGATAACAGTTGCATTTCGTTCATCATCTTCTTCGCGTGGACGCTCAGCTGCAACGCATGTACACGAATGTCAAATAAAATGTGATGTCAAGCTATAGCGACTCACAGCACCGTAGCAAACCGCAGTTTTTTATCATACGTACACAGTCGATTGTTTTTCGAAGGCGCTGTACTGCTGTAGACTGCAAGGCGTACAAAATCGAAGCCAACGTATCGTAGTTATGTAATGACATGCAGCAATTGGCAGCCTGACAAAAAAAAGAGCATGAACGTGAACAACACGCACGAAATCCATGATGTAGAAGGGATCAACTAGTTTACCTTGAGGTAGAACGAAATCACTTCGGCGCGTTCGGCAGGGGTGTCTTGGACCAAAACAGCGTTGATCACATATGCAGACAGCTTTGGCACATCAGATTAGAACAGGACATGTAAATTAGTCCTGCATATCAGCACTAGGTCAAGTCGAAGCGGGACGTACGTGTTGGAACCACCGCTTGATGGCTGTAAACTCAACGGAATGCTCAATCTTGGGACCGGTGCAAATCAGATCTTGCACTGCGTAGAGCGATCATGTTATGATCATGTAGAAACCGCAATGCACTATACAAGTCAAGTACCTGGAATCTTGCAAAAGACTGCATGTGTCAAAAGTGTGCACTGCACTGACCACCGTTCTGCGTCAATGTACCTGCATAAAAAAGGGAAAAGGAGACAGTTCAAACATTGTGTACAGAATACAACAGCTTTTTGCTGTCGTGGCTTACCGGTGCAAATGGCCCGGGAAAGACCCGCAAACTACAGGTCGGGCGCCCGAAACTGGTCCGTAGGTCTTAATCATCATTTCGGGAATTGTTTCGTAGTTCACAACGTAATTTCCGGCCCCTTGAAGATGAAAATAGGCTCTGTAAAGTGAGAAGTACTCCCCAATCAAAGGGACTAGTTTCTCCTTCCAGACGTCGACGTTATGACGAAAGAGACTGGAGAAACGGCTCCAAACATCATCAGCTTCCTTATTTTCTGACAGCCTAAACAGCAACAGCAAAATGAAAAGTCGGACGAGCCCGTGACCTAGACAAATGGATACACACCAATTAGCTTTCCAGAGCAGAAGATACTATCCCGCATCACAGAAAAAGTCTTACTCTTGACACCGTCGCGGACGTAGTCGCTCAACAGTTCCATCACTTTATTCAAACTTGAAAAACTATCGAGAAATAGTACGAATGCCACAGCATCGACCAAGTCCACTTCCGTCCCTGACACCAAATCACGGACCATGTTGTCGACGGATTTTGACTGCACGAACCGAGACACGAGATTGTTTTTTCCCGTAATCTTCCGCATGTCGCCGGGCAATTGCGATCCCATACATCCTACGGCCTGGCTCGTCCAACAGTGATCAACAGGAGAACAATCCAAACTGTCGATATCGACGTCGCCGCCTGGACAATTTGTCAAGCTTACTTTTAGTGACCAATCGACCTCTCTTGAGCTTTGCAATGCGCTTATTTGGTCGGAATCCTGAAGACTTGGGATACCGCGTTTATTAAGAAGGCGCCCATCGTGTGCTAGAGCCGCAAGGCACATGGCTCGGGTGACGCCGTTATCGCCAAGACCTGGTGCAAGCAGCACTGCTGCTGGAGTCTGGCCATACCGATTTCGAGTATAGGGATTCGCACCACTCTGTAGTAACCTGAGGATGATATCAGCGCGCGAGAGAGTGGCAGCTAAATGCAGACTCGTACTCCCATCCAGTGTGGAAGCATTCGGGTTTGCTCCCTTTGACAAGCACAAGTCCACCAGCTCTGTGCACTGACTCTCCACCGCAAACTCTAGTGCCGAAAAACCACTCGACCACGCCACACAATGCACGCTGGCACCTAGAGCTAGCAGCGTTGCAGACCCTTCGAGCGACGCTCTTATGCACATGGACATCAACGGAGTAAGTCCATGTTTGTCTGCCGCGTCGATGTCAGCCCCTGCATCAATGAGGCTCTCAATAATCAGCGCCAGTTCCATCGACTGTTTCACGACATGCAGTGGCCTTCTTCCTTTATGATCGCACAAATTGACATCAGCACCTTTTGAAACAAGATAGTTGACCATACTTAGTTGTCCGTTGTGAACAGCAGCATGAAGAGGGGACCCCTTTCCCGATGCCGGAACAAACCCGAAAACCTGCTTTCCTCTGGACTTTTCCCAGAAACATAGCGAATTTAGCTCCATACTAGGTGACTGTAGCCATACAGCCGAGTCCAAATCTCCCCGACGACCCGCGAGACACATGAGATACTGAAACATGTCGGAGTCCAGCGAAAGCAATTGGTAGTAGTAAAACTCGGTCATGAACGTGAGCTGCTTTGGCAGAGCTGCAGTGCGCACTTGCTGAATGATCTTGTCAAATGGCATCCCAATTACTGGCTCGTGGTTGATTGCAATCAACGACAGCCCAGGCACAATCGAAGTGCTCAGTGCTGCTTGAGACAGCTTTCGAACACTGTATACAATGGCCCCTCGACCGTTGCCATCTGTTGTGAACTGAATACCAATATCGTTGGTCGAAATGGATACGGAGACTCGAGATCCAGCAAGTCCCAGCGAGTCAAACTGATAGCTTTCATCGCCAGGTTCAAAACGCTCCACCCACTTGGCTGCATCGAGGAAAGCCCTAACGATGTTCGCCTTGTTCTGACATGCCGGGTGTTGTTGGTATCCATGCTTCAACAACACTCGGAGTATCGGCAGATCACTTAGCGATGACATCGTAACGACGTACCGGAAAATCGCCGTCAGTACCTCATCGGATATTTCGAAATGCTCGTCGTTGTACTTCACAATCGATTTTGTAATGGCTTTTCCAGCAGACAAAACAACCTCAAACTTGTGTGTTGGAAGCGACACGCACTCAAGAAGGTTGATGGCACTAATAGCTTGGCCCCAATTGCAAACTGACAGATCTTTTGAAATGCCGAAATCCGCCTGCACTTTTTGCTTCAGCACTTTGCGATTCTGTTCCACATTTCTACGTCTTGACTTCACTTTACAACTCTCCAAGCTTGCGTACGCCTCGGCATATAATGGAACGAAAACGCGGTCCTCCACATGTCGACGAATGAGCCGCACTAGCTCGTTACCAGGTAACAAAATAATCTCCGGGTCCCGATACAGCTCCAAATGATGGCGATCAATGATCGCGTCGTCCAGCTCGACAATAAAGTTGTGAATCGCCGCATACGAATGGTCGTTTTCATGGTCCTTAAACTCAATTAAACGCATAGCAATTTGCTCATCCGTGACAAAGATCTTGTTCAAATGTCTCGTCACGGCATTTGACCCTGCTTTCTCCTCCGTAGACGTCAAATCCATTTCGTAGCACGGCGGTGCAACTCGCCGCACCGATCGCAATGCAGCGACCCATATCTCGGCTTCAAATTGACTGCAGCAGTAACACAAGAGCTTATAAAAGCCTTTTTCAATCTGGAACGCATAGGCCTTCTCGGCTACGCGGATGTCCACATGTTGCACGGACACGACTCCGTCGTTCAATTGCATGCATCCTTTAATCTTCTTCCGTCCTTTGTTCTTGTAGTACGCAAACGTGCCGTCCGCAAAGAGCACAAAGAAGCGCGTTTTCCAGCTCTTCCACAAATGACCTTGTTTCGTGAGCCAGCCCATTTTGACAAAGTTCCCCACTTGCACTTGCGTAGCATAGAACGCGTCGTTCAGCATGGGATCGGAGCCATGCCGGACCAATCGGAACGCATTCTCCCGCTGGACAAGCGTCGGGGCAGGCGGACTAGCATCCGACACGGACCGCAACGTCCGTAACGGACTAGTGGGCCCCAGCATGAACGCCAAGAGGCTCCGGCGTTTCTCGCGCTCGTACTGTTCCGTGAACGCTTCGACTTCGAGTTCCACCTGCGACTGCAACGTCGGACTCGTGTCGCGTGGACTCCAATGACGTGAAAAGAGCGACGCGCGCTTCGATGGCTTCCGAGCCGCCCCTTCTTCCAGCAGCGGTGGCGGCGACGAGGGATCGTATGGGTCAAGTGACGTGTCTGGACGTCTTCGAGGCGCGTGCCAAGCTGAAGCCATGACGGCGGAAAAGAGGACGGGGTTCCTCCTTCTTCTCCTTCTGGTGAAGCGTTGAGTGAGCCGGAGCAGCTGTTTCCGGTGCAGAAAAGCGCGCTCGATCATCGAGTGAGTGTGGACATGTTGTTTGACTGGGCGTTTAGCAAGTTGTGGAAAGGACTGGCGAAGGGCGTTGCGACAAATGGCAGGAGCGCAGATAATCAGATGAAAAAGAACGCAGGGCAGGTGACTATAATGGGTAACTTTGTTTTTTCGATGGGTATGTTTTGTTTTAATGGGTAAGTTTTTTTTCCAGAAGATAGGAGAAACGTACTGGGTGATTGTATGCGTACTTTATTTATTCATTCGTTCCTGCCCAGGACTTTGCGTGGTCGCGGCTCGCTTAACGTTCCAGCGACGGTTTCGTAGTCACATGGAACGTGAAAAAAACTCACGAGCTAACTGCTGGCATGTCGACTGCTTTACTTTCACGACGTGACGGCCGCTCTCCAGATGGTGAGACTATCATTCCTCTGCCGTGGCAGTGTTCGATTTTTGTCGTCGTGATCCTTTGGCTTGGAGTTTTCGTGACAGTGGCATGACTGCCAGGTTTGAGCGGTCGTTTTGTGTCGACACGACGCTTGTCGAGATCTCAATGCTGCGCTCTTCGTTGAAAGTGAGACCGTGAGAAATGTGCCCTTGCTGTCCGTGAAAGCTGCTCTGACGCATTGGAGGAACGCTAAAATGGCCATGAAAGTCATCGAAGACCGGCCTTCTGACGATCTTGAGCGAAGAATCGGGACAACCCCAGTGCGTGCGATCATGCCTTGATTTTTCGCTGTCCCGATTGAACCCGCTGTCCTTGACTTGTACATTGTATCGTCCTGATCTTCAACTCCACTTGCTACTGTCTCTCCAAGCAAAGAGAGAAGAGAGAGAGAGAGAGAGAGAGAGAGAGAGCAAAAGCAGATGGAAACTCCTCGTTGCCACATGAGCTGCGGCCACTTCAAGCGTGCGCGGCACGTCGAAAGAACGCGATGCTCCCTTTCTTTTTCCCCACTCGACGAGTCCTTTTATGTCGCATGCTCAATCACATGTCCCTGCTGTGCGCTTGGTTGTGTACACTTTTCAGCTCCATTGTGTCGACCACACCAATTATCAAGTCGTCCTTGTCCCTTTTGCACGGAGTGTAAGATGTGGTCGATTCGGCCGCGTCGCAGTCCATTCGCGTCTATACAGCGCCGCGTTTCCACCTGCTCGAATCCGTGTGCCTTGCGCTCTCTGTTATGGGTTCCAACAGAAAAGCACGCGCCTTCAGACGCAGCGGTTCCCAGTCACCAGCTCCTGGTGCGCGCTGGTTTCGTGCGCAAGAGTGGTCATGGACTCTATGCACTTTTGCCTCTTGGACACCGAATTATGGCCAAGTTAGAGACCATAATTGACGAGGAGATGGCCAAGATAGGCGGAAATCGTGTGGATTTGACAGCGCTTACGCCTTGTGAGTTGTGGAAGCAGTCGGGACGCTGGCAAGGTCGTGGTCCGGAGCTCATGACGTTGGAGGACCGACGTGACGATTTGTTGGTGCTGGGGCCTACACATGAGGAGAGCATGACCAGTCTTGTTGCAGCGAACTACAATGCTGCAGGTGCTATGGATTGTTCGTTGCGGCTGTACCAGATTGGTCGCAAATTTCGTGATGAGATACGGCCAAGGTTCGGTCTTTTGAGAGCGCGAGAGTTTGTGATGAAGGACATGTACTCCTTTGATTCTACGTACGACAGTGCGTGGCAGACTTATCAGGATGTGACGGCGGCATATAACAAGATCTTGATCTCGAGACTGAAGCTGCCTGTTAAACGAGTGGAAGCCGATTCGGGCACGATTGGTGGCAATCTGTCGCATGAGTTCCACGTCCTGGCTGATGTCGGTGAAGATGCGATTTTGTCATGCTCGTCATCGCTATGTGACTATGCAGCAAACGTTGAGAAAGCAGAGGGCATCTTGCCGCCATCTGACGAATACGTGACGAAAGACTGCAGTGACGAGGTCTCGGTCGAGCTTGACGCCATCCTTGTGCAGCTTGACAAACGGGCTCGTGCAGGGGATGCACAAGTGTGGAAGTCCATCTCAGATCTTCACGATGCTGCAGGGGCGAACGCGTTTTCGTTCGATTTCGTGCTGGAGCAGAAGAAAAGCTCGGATCCTGATGCTGCTGAACACATCGCTGACAATGCACCGCGTCGAATGGCTCTGTGTTTTATGCAGCACGATCGCACGATGAATGAGCTAGCTGCAAAACCGTACATTGGCGGCAATGTAGGTGAAGTCATCAAAAGTAAGGTGAAGATTATGGAGCTGCTGGCAAAGCGTCTGCACACAACTGACTTGCATTTGCTTCTGGACGATTCGCTGAAACACGGCAGTCACATGAGTCCAGCTGTCAAGGCCCTCTGCGATGCAGCCAAAACCATGTCTGATCGTGATGATCACGTTCACCTTGCTTGGGGCCACTTTCGTCAAGCTCGAGCGGGCGACTGTTGTCCACGTTGCAAAGATAGTGCTGCGGTGCTCGAAGCCAAACGTGGTATCGAAGTGGGTCATGTCTTTTATCTTGGAAAGAAGTACTCGGAACCATTTGGTGCAACTTTTACTGATGCCAACAACACGAAGCACGCATTAGAGATGGGCTGTTATGGTCTTGGCGTGAGTCGACTTGTTGCTGCAGCAGTCGAGGCCTCACACGACGACAATGGTATTGTGTGGCCCACGGAAATAGCACCGTACAAGGTGCTCGTCATGTCTATTGGTGGCAAGAAGGAGAGCGATGTCGTGTCCCGGACTGCCTGGGAAATCGCTGGTGAACTTGCTTCCGGCACGATAGCAGCTGGTTTAACAAGAGACGACGTGCTACTTGACGACCGCTGGCGAGAGCGTCCGGGCTCGAAGTTAGTCGAGTCGGAACTCATTGGGTTTCCATACCGAGTTGTTGTTGGCAAGCGCTTTGCAACGGAAGGGCTAGTCGAAGTACAGAAGCGAAGGACAATGGCCAAGACGTTTGTGCCTCGGAACGAGGTATCTGCATTTTTCGCCGGTCTTGTTGCAGCAGGTACGTTTTAGAAATCGACCACCACGGCCGTCATTGCTGAAAATAGTCCCGAATGGTACTCGAATTAGGTCGTGCCAAAAACAAATGTCCTATTTTCTGAGTCGACTCAGCGGTCTCAGATTTGCGTCTCCACTACTTGTCAAATGAGCGTGTCCGTGGACCGCCTGGGGAATGGCGCCGCGTTTTGTCTACGGGACGAGCTCTCGGGCACGACTGTTCTCTTGGGATGTGGCGAGGCAAAAGACCTTTCCTTCTCCTCTGTAGACGAGGCGAACGCCGAGGACATGGACGCTGTGAAGACGCAGTACCGACGCGAATTGAAAGATCTGATGCGACGCGAAGGGAGTAGTACTCTTGCTGCTATTCTAGTACCGGATTACCGTCCTGTCGCTTGTTATATGCTTCCATACATTACGGAAAAGTGCGGGCTGTCCTGGGTGACCTCGAGCGCTACAGTCGCTCAAGACTCGAGCCTGAAACAGTCCCCAGTGATCATAATGACGCACGGTACACGAGCAATTGCGCCACATGTTCTCACTGAGTATTGGTACGAGAAAGGGAAAGTGTATGACATGATGTGGTGATTAGGTGTTTTGGTTTTTGACGATGTGCGTGGGGATTGTTTAGGACTGGATGTCACGGCAAGGTGAAGGACAGAAGTAGCACCGCATCAGCTCTGTACGACGTCCACGATATATCTCCGGCCTTGAATCGAGCCAAAGCAGTTGCATTGAAGGCTCGTGTGAGGATCAATGATCACTTGAGTGTCACGGCTTTTCACGCGGGTCATGTAGCGGGCGGATGTGCTTTTTACTTGGAGATTGGAGGCACGACGGTACTTTATGCCAATGACTTTAACTTCACGGGTGGGCGAGTGCTTTTGCCAGCACAGATTCCACGATTAGAACCCTGTGCATTGATTTGTCGCAGCTCATTTGCAGTGACCGTGTCGGAGACGCAATGTGCCATGGAGAGGGAGCTTGTGAAGGTTATTCTCGAGTGTATCAGCTCGAAGGGAAAAGTAGTGATTCCAATCTACCGGCTGGGATACTTTCACGAGCTGGTTACGATTTTGCTGGATCACTGGCAGCAGATGAAGGATGCTGCGGGAAAGTCGGGGCGGTGCCCTATCTACGTATCGGACGCAGGGATGGAGTATCCAAGCAAGTACTTGCGTGTGCTGTCTCGCACATGCACTCCTGCCATTCGAAGTTTGCTGCGGGAAAAGTCTTCGCATGGTGTTGATCTGCAGGTGTTTGATTGGGCTCGGCTTCAACAGCCAGGACCGTTTGTGCTGTTCACAGGACCGGCCAACATATCGCAGGGTGATTCACTGCGTGCTATTAAGGCTGTTGCAAGTGATCCGAAGAACCTGATCGTCCTCTCGGAATATTGTACACCTGGTACAGTCAACTATTTGCTGTATGCAGATCCTGAGCGAAAGCGCATCAGCAAGCGTCTTGGAGTGAATGTGGAATGCGGAGTACACTATCAGCCTTGTGGTGATGAAGTGGATACCAAGAGCATTGTCCAGCTCGTATCACGTGTCACGCCACGGCAGGTAATTCTCGATTATAGTGCCGAGAATGATCTTGAATTCGTGAAGATGCACGTCCTAAACGAGCTGAAGATGGATCCGGCTGTCGACACCAACGTCGTGGTGAGAGGAATAAATCCCACAGGTCGAACACCTATCGTACCTGATCGAGACATACCTCTGCGCATTCACAAGGCTATGTTTAACAACCCCTCAGATGTGCAGGGTATGCTGATCGCGGAATCAAAGCGAAAGCTGATGCTACTGTCGAGTGGCAACGGTGCACGGCGTTTGAAAAAGAAGAAACACTCGCTCCTGTTCTCGTACTCGTGGAAAAAGCCGCTCCAGCCTTCCCCTCGTGTGAAGAAGAAAAGCCAGCGCCCCGCATCAGCATTGTCGTTTCTCCTCTCAGCAGCTGTGGAGTCAGCTGATGAAGAAGAAGAGGAACAGAGTGAGCAGCAGCCTCAAGCGAGCGTGGATCAGCTTCTGCAATCACTGGAGGCCAGTCTGGCCAAGTGGATGTGCGATGTGCCTATCGAAAAGATTGACCGCTGGTTGAAGCTCCGAACGGTAGGAGTGGCAGTGTCTGCCGAGTGGGAAGTCCACATGGAATGGTCTTACGACGACGAAGCTTTAGCTGGTCGGGTGCTTGGCATTGCCAAGCAAGTCGTTTACGCGGAATACAAAACACAGCTTGCAAAGTAGTATACGTTGACAGCGCGGGATCAACATCGACTGATGGTCTATTGAACGTACTGTCTGCACGGTTGCCGCGCTTTTGTTTCTTTTGCTCGATAGAATTGCACGAGCTGTGAGTATACCTGTCCGAATGGCACCGGGGGTCGAATGCGCTTTTGGATCCACTCAGGCAAGCGATTGCGCACCGCCTGACTTGAGTAGCGACTGTCGACCAGCAGAATGGAAGAAAAGTCATTTCGATGACGGATAGACCTTCCTGTACGTTCGAGATACCAAAACAAGTTAGCAGCAGCAGCATTGTGCAGAGAAGTACAATAACACGTTACCAATGGATTGGTTGATTGCCTTCATGCAGAGACTCTCGTAGAATTGTCGCCCAGCTCCCGAGCTCCTCTTCTCCAGGAACCCCATTTTTTCGACTATCTCTGGATCCCGAGCGTTTGGGTAAGGCATGCCCACCATCACAACGCACCGTGCTAACTCGTCACTGAAATTGATTCCCTCGGACATTTTACCCCCAACGACACTCAGCAGCATGGCACCACTTCTGTCGCGGTTGCCTTGCACGCACGCTGCTGAATATTGCGTGAGTACCTCAGCAAGTTCCGCTGACTTTTTTGGCTCGCTGAATACGTCCTTCTTCGCTTGAATTTGCTCGTACTGCTTTGTAGCCTGCCATCGACAAACTGCGCTTTCCTCGAAACGGTACGAAGGGAAAAAGACTACAATCCCACCTGGCACAATGCGCGCAAGGTTAAGCAGAATGCGCCCGAGCTCGTCCAATGCTTCCAAATCGCCGCGTCGAGAGAACGTAAACTCGAGGTGCTTTTGGGTAGGGCCCGACTCGAGGCTGAAGCCAAGTAAATTCTCAGGAGGAATAACGTGTCCACATGAAAACAAGTCGACATTTTCTCTTGGTATTGACGTAAAAAGCTGATCAATCACTTGCGACACCTAACATAAGCACGCAGAAGGATGGTGACTACCGAGATGATGACGCTGGCATCAAAGAGGTTTCGTATCTTTACGTACCGGCTGCATCGTCCCTCCAGCAAGAATGACGCTCCGTGCCTTCCTCACTATTTCTTGAAAGTGGACGACAGGATTCAGCAGAATAAACTTGATCAGGCCTTCTACACCTTTGTGCACCTACATACAAATGGTAGCAACGGTGATCATCGTGTGACCGATGCTAAGCAGTCTAGGTAGATTGTACCAAAACCAACGCGACGTACATTATGCGGCTGTGCAAGGATCCGGCCGTCTTCCCCTGCATTGGTCAAGGCTTTCAACAGAGCTTCGACCGTTCGGAGCGGTGATGTGTGACGACTCTCAAAGCCTTCATCAGGATCACCAGTAGACGCTTCTGACGACGTGATTGTAGCTTGGGCATCCACTTTCGTGGAGTCGACAAAGCCCATAAGCTTCTTGGCCAACCCACTTTCACTCAGATACTCTAAAATCTTAAACATGTTGAAGTGGTCGATCCGCGCACTAAACAGGAAATCGTTGATTGTCATCATCTGTGCACCAGTAACACCTTCATCTGTGTCACCACCTGACACGGTCTTTCGAGCAGACTTGCTCAGCTGGCGAAGAAATGCGGTCACAGACTCCAAGATTGTCAGCAGTTGTTTAATATAGAACGTGTTCTTGCCCTTGAAGCGCTTTTCATACTTCGTGAAATACGACCACAAACTTCTTCGTGCTACCACCAGCTGCTTGCTAGTGATCTCCACCTTATACGTGTTGTTAATTGCATCGACGATATTGTGCCCCTCGTCAAAGATCACAATATTGTTGCCCAGTTCAATACCCAAAGTCTCCCGCGTGTCTTTACTGAGTAACATAGAATATGGCGCCGTGACAATTTGAGCAAGGGGGACGCTTTCGCGCGTGCCATAGTACGAACATATTGACATGTCTTCGCCCAACGTGTGAAGGTCTTCGATGTCTTGCACATGTGCCTACACGTGTCACCCAAACGTGATCAGACGGAGACAGCAATCATGCAGGCGAATAGAATCATACCAGTGCATAGTTCTTGTAGCGGCCGAGCAACTCTTTTTCGTAGAACGGGCACTTGCCAATCTCGCTGCCGTTCTTGCTCTTCTTGCTCTGCATCATGTCCAAGCACTTGTCCGTCATCCTTACATCGGACGCTATCGTTGCAACTTTCGGGTTCGTGCACAAGTTCTTGCGCGAACCTAACGACACGACTCGAATATGCTTGGCGAACACAGTCTTCCGTATCTCGCGAACAAACTGCGAGATCTGCGAGTGCGTTCGACTGCAGTAAATGATCTTGACCACTCCCAACTCCACTTTCTCCTCACTACGAAACGGCTGCTTGAACTCGTTCGACGTCATCTCTCCACGCTCGTCACCATCCTCACTGTTCTGCACGCATCGAGTTCCTCGATCGCTGTCATAAGGGTCCACCAAATGCTCGTCGTCCTCCTGCTTTGTCTCTCGACTGCTGCTCTTCCGATGTCCCCGTTTCGGCTCATTGTAATCGTACGCAATCCGCATCTTGCGCTTCTTCCTCGACACTTCCGGTTCCAATCGAACCTTCTCAACCTCAGCCAGAGCTGCTTTGGCCGTGTCTCGGCGATTGGTAGCCACCCGATCCGCTGCCTGTTGCGTAAAGGCGTCCAGCCAACTTGGGTCCGCGCTTTTTGAAGCTGGTACACTGGGTACAGCATCACCTGAAGTAGCAGTAGCTGAAGTCCCATTTGTTAGTGGCAATCCAAACTCGTCCGTGTGCCTTGTGAGCCACGTGAGCGCGCCGCAGATGAGACTAATGGACTTCCCAGTGCCCGTCGGACTCTCGAAGATCCCGCAATGGCGTTGCTCGAGTGTGGCCCATATCTGCCGCATCAGGTCCAGCTGGATGGAGTAGGGATCGTACGGGAACGAGAAGAAGCTGCCGTCCATGTCGGTGGTGGACGTCCTGGACGGGTCTGCAGTGCAAGCGGCGACGTCTCGAGCCATTCGAAACTGCAGCTTCCGTGGCGCCGTCTAGAAGCCAGATGCAGTGTAGGGGAACGGGATAACGACTGCGACGAAGTGGGATAAGAAACTATCGAGCAGCATGTTGAGTGAACGGTCAGTGGATCGGTCTCTCGTAAACTGTATGCATGCTGTAATCCGCCTCTTTATTTGCAGCTTCGTCGACGCATGGCGTTTTTTTAGAAACGTGTCTATCCAAACATCATATCGAGATGTCGTTATGTATGCGTTACTTTGGCTATCCTGCATATGTCGCCGAGTACCTACATAAGCTGTATCGTATGTTGCAGTGCGGATTGCCGCTCTGATGCGCGTCAAACGGACTTGACCTTGAGCAACTCGCTATTCGGTTCATCGATTTGAGTCGTGACTCGCTTCGTAGCGGCAATTGGATGGATGCTCTCGCTTGGCTTCCGACTCTATTGGGCAAGTTGTATGGAGAGAGTAACATGGCGCTGCAATAGCCTGCAACATGCCAGTCAATATGAATCTCCGTTGCTCCATTCGACTCGGCTCGTAGTGGACCGAACGTCCGTGTGCAGTCAGTTTTGCTGCTGTAGTCTCTACGAAGGACATTACAGTGCACACCCGTGCGTCACTATTCCAGTAGCCTTACCACTCGTCTGCAGTCGAAACTGACGCGCTACTACTGCTGCCATTGTCCATCCGGTCGCTGCCAGTAACGTGTGTAGACCGCATCAATACAAAGCCTCAGCTCGCACTTCTTGACGTTGAAGGTGTTGACTTGAACTACTGGAATGCACTGTGTTCACACAGGTAATCAGCCAGCTTAATGGACTTCTACTGGTGACAAAGGCTCGTCTCCGATACCACCCATACGATAGATAGGCTCACCCGACGTGAGTTGTCGTTGGCTCGACGACCTTGAAGAAGCACCACTGACCAAAGGCAGAGCAGCGGGCGAGTTATACAACCTCAAAGCACTAGAACGCCCAGTCCGTGATATCCAGGAAGCCAACCAGAATCTGACGGACGCCGGATAGGACCGGTGCACCGGCGTGAAGCACTTTTCCGCTGTGTACCGTGACCTCTCCTTGTGTAATGTGCACCGTACGCTTCGTCGCGTCAAAGTGGGTGCCACCTCCGGTAAATTCATCGGCCGAGTTCAACAACATGTTGAACGACAGAACGGATCCGTCGCGGTGCAGGGCGAGGTCTGAGCGTTCGCCTTCGCATGCCTCGTATTTGACAAAGAAGAGGTCACGGAAGCGCAGTTGCTGCGACGCGGGCAATTGATAGCGCTCCATGATCTGAGGAAACAATCGCCATGTCAGCGTCGAGCGGACCCAGGAGTCTATCCTCGCAACTTGATGACAAGGCATGTCGGTTGTCTGGTAAGAAGCGTGGCGCTTCTTGCACCAACCATGCTTGGCTGCCGCGTGATTCACTTCGCTTCGCACGAGATCAGTCTCGTCAAGACTCCAGATATTTGAAAACACGTACGGCTCCAGCATGGATTCCTGAGGCTCTAAGTGCGCCAAGTACCGGTCTCTCGCAATCACCTCGCGCTTCGATCGTAGCTCTTCGACTTCTGACGTGCTTAACGTCGCCTCACCAGTGATACCCTAAGCCAAACAGCACAACGATACCATCAGAGCACTCCACCGTCACCAGCCAATCGTCCGAATGAATGGTCCTGCTGGACAATACCTCGAGAAATGCAGCAACCTCATCATGTCCATGGGTCGCTGCAACGCGTGCTGCAGAGCTCCCGTCCCAGTCGCGCAAAGTCATTGGATCCATACACATGGGCGATTCGACAAACCACTTGACCATCTTCAGCTCCCCCTTCTTGGCTGCAAGATGCAGCAGCGAGCAACCTCCACTTGCAATGGTCTTGCCCATATTGACAGCAGTATTCACCGGCAACGTCACGTCTTGAGTCACGACGTGGCCAACCACCGACATCGTCGTCTCGGGCTTCAGCTCCTTGCACACCGCCTGCAAAAACGTTTCCATCTGCGCTTCAATTGCATAATGGAGAGCTGAGTACCCGAGCGAGTCGGCTGAATTGTCCAGCACCTGTCGCGTCAGATCAAATGCTGGATAACGCGCGTGGAATTGAATGAAGCCTGACCAGATCAACATGGCCAGGTCCTCGTCGTAGATGGAGGCGGCAAACAGCACCGCGGGTTTGCCCAGCACTCTCAGCTCCATGTCACTGCGCAGCTCAATGTCCCCGTTCTCGTCACTGGTCTCAAAATCAGCCAGCACATCTTTGAGACAACTGGAAGCTAAGGAGTTCTGCCAATGTAGCAGCTGCAGGAACACGGCGCGTCTTCTGGCATCCTGCTCCCAGTCTCCTTCAAATAGTCGGGTCAGTGCCTTGCTTGCGTCGTGGAATCTTGTGAGTTGATGTAACAGCAGTTGGGCTTCACTTTTCACGGTCTCCGATGCCATTGTCACGATCTTCCTGCAAACTGACGAGAAAATGCCAACAAGCGACTGCAGGGTGTGACCAAGCCTCTCTCGCTCAGGCTAATCATTGGTATTCTTTCATCTATATGCGGGCTTTTGCATCCGATGCTACAAGTTGCACCCGGTCTGGTTGGTGACATCGCTACGCGTGATCGCCGTCGTCCTCGTCGTCCAGCTCGTTGATCTTGTCAATAGCGACCTTGATCTGGTTGCTGTCCTTGGGATGGAAATGCAAAGCCAACATGAAATACTTCATTGCTTCCTCGATACGGCCAAGCTTTTTTGCTACTTTGCCCATCATAAAGTGCACGGAAGGTTCACGCGGCGCAAAGTCTTTCAGCACTTGAAGCTCGTCCAGAGCTTCCTCGTATCGCTGGAGAGTGCTCAACACATTCGCACGTTGAAACCGGGCTTGAGGGTTTAACGGCTGGAGCTGGGCAGCGGTGGCAAACGTAGCCAATGCGTCTTCATATCGGTGCGTAGCGTGCAGGACCATACCCAAACAGCAATGCAGCAGTGAGCTTCGAGGATTGATCTCTAACGCGCGCTTGAAATGGTACTCGGCAAACTCGAACTTCTCTTGCCGAAAGTAAATCGTGCCCAAACCATACCAGGCGTTGTAGTGGCGCGGATCGGTACGAATAGCGTGTCGATAGCAGTTCACCGCCTTTTCAAAATCTTCGTTCGCAACGTACTCGTGACCGGAGAGCGTGTACGCGTATGTGAAGGACGGGTCCAGCTGAATAGCCTGGCATGGACGAGACCACAAGCAGAATTCAATGGTGAGGACAACAGCGCTAACAAACAGCTATCTTGGACAAAACTTACCCGCTGGAAGAAAGTCAAGGCGACAACGTGTTCTTTCTGCAAGCTGAAACAATTACCGGCAGCACACCAGGACTCGCACGATAGTTTGTCAAAATCGGTCGCCTGCTGTGCCACGTAAGAAAGCTCGACGTCTTTCTTAAGATGCCACAAAGTCGTCGAGTACAAGTCGAGGCCTTCCATTCGATGCGGCTCCGCCCTGTGTAAGGCGCAAAACACATCTTGTGCTCGCACATAGTCAGCCATTTCGAAATGGGCTCGTCCGATTTGCTGTTGTGCCCAACCAGACGCATACTGGGAAGGAGGAAGCTGCTCTAACATCTCCAGAGCTTCTTGACACATGTACACACTCATTTTGTGATAAATAGAGCCAAACGAGTTAAGGAGCCGTAGCAACGCAAACCGACTATCATCTTGATGCGAAGGAGCTTGAGCTCCACTATGACGGAAGTCAGCAGCTACTGGTGCTTTGTCACGGAGCACATGCTGGGCAGGTAACAACGACGCTGGAAGGTCTAACGCTGACTTTGATGACTTCTGCAACTGCACAAATAGCAGCAAACCAAACAGTCAGTCATCAAGAAACGTAGTAAGCAGTCTGCAACCTGAGTAGTTCAGTACCAATGGTGAGCCATCCAATTTGCCAGCCGAGAATGACAGTCTAGCTCGGAGCTTGTCGTCCGTTTCTGTCAGTGGACGCCGGCGACTTTTTCTCTGTCGCGCGGAGACCTTGATACCTTTTCCTACGTGCGCGTCTTTTATGACCACCGTCGTGTGCATATTGTTCATCCTATTTGGCGTCTTATGGGCCAAAGGTCTACTTGAGCGGAACGTCGATGCCACTGTGCTTTGGGACGTACAAAGATGAAAACGTGGACGCAGTTTCGGTGCTGCTAGCGTCATTGCATCAGTCGGTCGATCCTCAGCATCCTTCTGAGATCCTCCCTCCTCGTCAAAAAGCTGTCGAGATTCTGAGTCCTCATCATGGCACTCCAGCCTGGATTCAAACTTATCATCCGCCCTTCCAGCAGAGGGTTCATTAAAACAGTTGGCCGTACCGAAGAACTGAGAAGCCTCTATGTGAGCGCCGAGTTCACAAAGTTGCTTGTACGCCACCCACAAGCACGGATCCATCTCCAAACTAGTCATCACACACGCACAACCACACACATGCACCAATCAACATAAAATACAACAAATGTCAGCGTCAAGAACCACCGCCATCGAGTCAAATGCAAACGCCAACAAACAGCACCTCTTCACAAAGCACGCGACAGCTTGCCGCCTCCTGTTTCCACGTCTGCAGATCTTTCCCAGTAGATACAATCCAGCAGCTCCTTTTGGCACATTCGTAATCGCTTCCACATCGTCAATATGGTGTTCTTCGCCTCCCAGCAGCGCGTTCTCGGCCTCGACCAACCGGCCCTGCTGAAAACAGCAGCAAGCGAGCAAGTAGCGATTCTCCGGCCTTGTTGCACCGCAAAGCACAGCCATTGCTCGAGCTGTTTGACCATTTCGATAGTAGCACGTGGCCAATAGCAGCGTGTTTTCTTCACTCGGACGCTATCAAAAAAGTAGCAACAATAATATGAGTCACAAAAGTCTTAACTATTGCTATCAAAGCAGACTGTATTGCAGCTTACAGTGCACTAGAAACCGTAAAAAAGCGATACGTACATGAGCAACAAGTCTCTCTGCTAGAAAACGTGCATTGTCATACACACAGACGTTCAGATAGCGCTGTACTTGGCTCGCAAGCGCAGTCTCCAAAGCCGCCATGACGCTTTCCCAGTCTCGATGTTGTTTCGCGTTCGGTATGTTGCGCAACGCACCGTTGTCTACGTGCAACATCCTCTACGTGCAACATCCTCTACGTGCAACATAAGCGAGCCCCCACCAGTTAGTATTAGCCAGTACAAACGCAGCACGAGCGCTCACGGCCACAACAAAATGCATCGCCGCGCCGGAGCTCCTCGCACGTCCGTTCGCAGCCAGCGCAAGGTGGACCAGCCGCCACCAAGCAGGAAGGCGCCACGCACGGTGATTGGCGTCTCTTCTGTTCCACTGTCGAGCCGCTTCACGCACCTGGCGGATGGACCAGCGCCGCGCGCAGTGACGAAACAGCAGCAGCATCAGGTGACAGTCGTCAAGATGCCGCTGAAGAAAGGCAAGACGCAGTCGGTACTGCGCGCTGCTAATGGACGGAAGAAGTTCCAGAAAGAGGTAGCGACGGTGAAGCAGGTGACGCAGCACCAGCAGCAGAAGAAGCTGCAGCAGGTTAGTCAGAACAACCGCAGCAAACGCCAGCAAGTCATCAGCAAACACCGGAAAGGGCTCCCGCCTCAGGAGCTGAAGCTCAAGGGAGTCCAGACTAAGCACAAGAACGGGCCTGCTCAGGTGCACGGAGGAAGAGGCGCGGGCCGTGGAGGTCGCGGAGGACGAGGAGGACGCGGTGGTCGTGGAGGACGTGGAGGTGTAAAGGGCAAACTTCCGTCCGGAGAAGACCTTGATATGGACATGGACGAGTACTGGCACGAAGCTGGTAAAGGTCCGGATCCTAAAGCTGTTCAGTTGGATCGTCAGATGGAAGAGTACTGGGCCGCCAAACCGACAACTGACAACGAGGCTGCCAAGACGGAAGCAGCTCTTGACACTACTATGGAAGCCTAAGCATGTGGTGAAAGTTGTAGTCACTACAACTGAGACGTGGACACGTAGACCAATGGCTGACATGGAAGAGGGAAGTAAAGTGGACTCTTGTGAAAGCTGCGTGAGCGATGAGCAGCTCACGTTACTTCGGGACGAACGAAGGCGGCAGCTCAATACCCAAATCGAAAGAAAAGAAACATCGCGTGTTTGCCTGAGGTGTTAATGTCTATTTTATCTGGACGGTGGATACAAGCGCAACAGTTCTCTCGCGGAAGTAGCAGATACAAATCTGCGCGCATATGGCTGACGGTGACTCGTGCAGCACAGAGCTACAAGACGGGTCCGCGGCAAAAATGTCGTGCGAGGCGAAGCTCTAGTCGTACAAGGCCTTGTCGTAGGAAACGTGGCTGGGCTGATCTTTCCAGATGGTCTATTCTTCAGCCATCATCATGGGGATCAAGAAATCCGCCGTGTTGTACGCTAGCTGTCGGTACGACTACAATGCAAATCGTGACGCGGTCAGCCATCTATCCTCGCGCCAGACCAATTGCTATCTGCACTACACCCGCACCTGCGAGTTGAAGTGATACTTATCGAATGAACGCGCGCTCTCGCGACGGAACGCGTACGTGTCGAGACGAGGCCCGAGAATGACGGGTGCTGCATCCATCGACGTGCTGTCATTCACATCACAGTTCGTTACTCCGTCATGTATTCAAGAGCAAACTGCTGCATCCCACTTGCCGTACCTTTTGCAAAAATGCTCCAGTGCCGTGTTGACAGTAGTCGAGCTGCCATTGTCCATTCCAGTGTCGAGTGGACAAGGGCTTGCAATTGTGGCAAGACACACTTGCTTGCTCTTCTTCTGCAACGTATCGCAGATCTCCACGAGGTTGCGATGTATCTCGGATCCAGCAGCACCTGGGTGTTTTCTGCTCTCATGTATCAGCAGTTATCGCAGAACATTGGACGTAAGATGGTTGCGACGCCCTTTCGCACCGTCTTTCGTTGCGCACCTGATCTCTGTGGATCCGAGGAGGATGATCACGATGGACGCGTCGCTCATGGCGTTCGACGTGAATACGCTTTTGAAGTACTACGTTGCCACGCCAAACTCGTCAGGCAGACATCTCGATACAACGAGGCCACAATATTCCAATTACAGACCGACAGGCAGCGCATCACAGACCTTCTTAGGTGAAGACATGGGCCAATCGGCTGTCATGGACCCAGGCGCTCCCGCGTTGATGACCGCCCAAGTGTGACGAACCTTTGGTGACGGCAAAAAAAGACCACCCTCCCGTCAGCTCAAGCACGAAGAGCTTCGACAGCTTCACCACGAAAAATAAGCCACAAAGTAGCAGAAAAACTCATGACAGTGGCGAACTTGCCTTGTCGTCGGACGCGACAATCTTCTCGAGGTAGTTAGCAACGCCTGCACCAGCAGCACCACCGAGCGTCAAGTCGTCGCCAATACCTGCTGCAAAGTCGGATCCGATGATCACCACCTTATGAAAGAACTGGCTGGAAGGTGGCAGAAGCCGCATATGCACGTAGTAGGTGATGCAATGGCAAATGTGCCACCACAGGAGCGTCAGGAAGTTGCGTAGCGACGTCATCATGTGGCGACTTGGCAGCAGTGGCATGGCTTTTGCCACGATTGACAAGTAAATGGTCTTGCTCGATTTTCAGCCAATCACAGAAGACCATCAGCTGCTAAAATCGGGACGGCTGAGCTTTGACGCTTGACCGCCATGGGGAATCGCGGCCGGCGTCGGGGGACCCGTGTCGCTTCGAGTGCTGTTGATCGTGTGGAGAAACACGAGCAGATGGTGCAGTCGGAGACGTACGTTGCGTCTGGTGGCTCAATGGATCGCAGTCAGCCGGAGATTCGGTCAATTTCCTGGAGAAAAGCGCGAAGTGCAGCTGTGATTCAGTACGCGGACGGCAGTCGCTTTGAAGGTGGGGTTGATGCTGAAGAGCGACGACATGGAACGGGTGTTTACGTCTTGAAGTCAGGACACACTTCAGAGGGTGGCTGGGTGCACGGAGATTTTGAAGGGTATGTGAGTGGTGGCTGTTTGTTGGACCTGGTGATGAGGACGAGTGGATACGGATCGAATGGTGGGCTGTACGTCTTGCTGATGATGAATGACACGACAGGTTTGGCATGCAGCTATATGCAGTAACAGGAGATTGCTACGAAGGTATGTATCGGAAGAACCATCGCCATGGTACAGGGACGTACTTGTGGGCAAATGGTGACAAGTACGTGGGCAATTGGCGGGTTGGCAAGGTAGTGAATGTAGATAACAGTGTTTGGTGATGCTTGGCTGCAGTACTTGCGCATGCTGATTGAAATGTGTGCATTTTGACGGTGACAGATGCACGGGACCGGCACGTTCTTTTGGCGAAACGGTGACTGGTACAATGGTGAGAGGCAAAGCCGTGCGTGTTGTCTTTGTTCAAGCGGCGTTTCGGGTAGCTGAAGCGCGTTCGCAATGCTGTTTGTCTAGGTGAATGGAAAAGGGGAATGATGCATGGTCGAGGCAAGAAGGTATGCTCGTCAGGCGAGATGGTCGACGCTGTCTGGAGGCATAATCAGGTGAGCGGGTGGGGAGTGAAGGTGTTTAGCTCTGGAGGCAAGTACGAAGGCTATTTTGTCAAAGGTGAGCGCGAGGGATTCGGCAAGTATGAATGGGTAGACGGAGATTCGCACGAAGGCACGTGGCATCAAGGCAGGATGCACGGTAAAGGTGTATATGCGTCGGCAGGTGGATCTTTGCACGGAACGTGGTCCAGTGGCGAACTCATTGGCCAGGGCGTGCACTACCTTCCATGCGGAAGTGTATATACTGGTAATTATAAAACTGGTGAGCGAAGCGGTGTCGGTACCCTGACTTTCGCTTCCGGAGAAGTCTACGAAGGCGAGTGGCACAAGGGAAATGTTCAGGGGTACGGATCGTGGTCGTCGCCCGATGGACGGAAGTTCATTGGTACGTGGGTTCATGGCTTTCCTTCTGGTCGTGGTATTTTCTGCTATGAGCATGACGAAGAGGAGGACGGAAACGACAGAGAAGGCGAACGCACCGCTGACGCGAGACACACGTTTCAGGTAGGAGAGTTTGAGCGTGGGCGACTTGTTACCGGGAAGGATCATTTTGTCATCGAACAGGTCTCGGTGCCATCCTAGTATGCAGATTATGTAGCCTGCCGATGGCAAGACGATCGACACTACATCCCGCTGACGTAATTGTGTAAAACAGGTATTTTCGCTCGCTTAAAGCCCAGCCCGCTGCATTGAATAATAGACATACCAAGGAGAAGACCCAGCTCACGCGAACAAAAATTTCTCTAACTTTCCGCACGACAGCTGACTACCTGCACCAGGGTACACACAGCAGGCAGACACCAGCCGCGCAGAGGCCCTATCCGGTGGATCGTTCGTGGAAGGAAAAGGAGAAAAAGAGATTGCCAACCAGTTCTCGAGAAGCCCTCTTTTGGAAGATCTCACTCATCATGTCGCTGGCGCTCACAGGCGCACGATCCGGTCAGTCGGTCGATGCGCATGTCCTTAGCCGAGGCTGGGGAACGCGCTCATGTCCGTCACGTTCGGAACGTTGCCACCACGGCCATTACGGCCACCGGTACGGCCATTGCCACGACCACCTCGACCACCACGACCACCGCGGCCGCCACGCGACGAGTCAAAGTCACGCGTAAAGCGCTCCGGCTTCTCCGTGCGAAAGCCCACGTCCGTGATGAGCTGTTTCTTGCGGCCAGATGTTTTCTTGCTGTACACCTTCTCGTACTGCGAGTCCATAAAGTCGGGTGTCTTACCATCTTTCGTGATCAGCACCGCGCTCGTGAACTCGTTGGCGACCTGGCGAACCTCAACATCCGCAAAGAGCTCGCCCGAGCGAGACTCCTTTTGCTTGGCAAGGTATTCGTCGTAGGTGAGCTGAATCTCCTCCTCTTCCTCCTCCTCCTCAGGAGCAGCCTCCTCCCCAGCAGGAGCCGTCTCCTCATCCGAGGTGGGCTTGGCACCACCCTCCTGCACATCAGCCTCCGCCAGCTGCTCGTTCGGGTCAGCCTTGTTGCCCCAATTGTGGGCACCCCCACCCTGCTTGATGGTCTCTTTGCCACGACCCGTGCCGCTGCGACGCTCAAAGTCCCGACGAGGACCACGGTTGCCTCGGCCACGGTCTCCACGCTCTCGAGGAGCACGAGCACCTTCACCTCCTTCACGTCGTTCCCCTCCCTCACGACGCTCACGAGGAGCCTTGTCACCCTCACGGGGTCCGCGGCCTTCCTTCTTGTCCGTGTCAAAGGTCTTCTTGTTGCCCGCCTTCTTGTTGCCAGCGGCAGGCTTGTTCAGTGCCACAGGAGTCGAGGAAGGCGGCGCCACCTTCTTGCTCACGCGAGGCGCGTCCTCCTCATCCGAGTCAAGGGCGGCAAAAAAGTTCTGGTACTTACTGGCCTGTTCACACCGCACACGAGTAGAACACAAAGAAGGGTCAATGGTATCGGGCGGGGTGTCAACTACCAGTTCCCCACACTCGAATTAGGCGTTGAGGATGGACGGATGGATGAAGTCTCGAGAAAAGAGGGGGATCGTCCAGCTTGCAAGGGCTTTTCAGGGCATGCAAACGATGCAGGAGCTGCTCGGGAATCTGTGAGATCCCCCCTATCCTCCTAAGTTCTAGCGTACTGGCTACTGGACCGAGAGCTATTGTCGACGTACCATGGCTGCGTGCGAGACGGGGGCAAGATGCTGCTGATCGGCGCTGCTGCTCAAAGGCCGAATGGAGAACCAGTCGCTCAGAGGCCACCGAATAGCTTGTCCACTATTTTTGCTGCACCACGCTACGCGCGGGACCGGTCCCGCTTACTCTGGGACGATGTATCGCAGGCTCCCGCGCTGCGGCTCGAACCGAACCGCGTAGTTTGGGGCCTCTGTGTGTTGTTACTTTGGGTCTGTGAAATTATGTAGACGAGGTTGTCACCAAAACCAGACCAAAAAGAGTCAAAAATGCCAAGTTTTGATCGATCACGGTTATGTAAGACGAGAGGTTTCGTACCTATCCGTTTTTTGGAAAGATTATTGCAATTGAGACGTTTTTGTGACGGTACTAAAAGATAAAAAGGAAGCTGAATAAAGTGCTTGGCATATCGCTTTTTTTCACTCAGAATTGTGAGGGTCAGCCAAATTGTAGGATGCAATTCCTTTACCATCAGACCAGCACCGGTGGTTGACTGATCCGACTACCACGCACCAAACGCGCACGAATTACGGAAGCACATCTTCTTCTATTCTTTCCACAATCTGTCAGATAAAGTGTTTTCGTTGCTGGCTACGGTTGCTCCTTTGTACTTACGGGCTCTAAACGCCGGCTGAAAAATCGAATACCCGTCGCAAAGTTCGTTGGCAATGCCTCACTTCGGTAATCAACAGCATGAAAACAAGCTTGCACTTATATACGAAATTACACGTACGTATGAGTAGCACAGCAAGCTGATGAATTGGTACACTCAATGAATACCCTAATCGACAAATCCCTGAGTCTGACGGTAGTGTACAAGCCTGAAATTCACAAAAAAAAGTATGTTCAGCTTTCTCCAAGTGCATTGTACTGGTTCCAAGCGTCCGTTAATCAAACACTCAAAACAAACAAAGCTGACGTATATCGCCGTCTGCCAATTCAGCATAAGACGGCTAGCACAACACGCACAACATTGCACGAAAATTAGGCGGAGATCGAGCGAAAAAAATACAGCTCACAGTAAGTTTGCTTTCAACATACGACGACGAGTGCAGTCAGCCCCTCTACAACATCTCTGTTTCTCCACCCCAATTTGGATCTTATAGAGGAAGGATGTTGTATCAGGGGATGTTATAGAGGAAGCTGACTGTAACCTCATACCAAGGCAATAGATAGAAGTAGTTTGCTCCCGCTCAAGCTCTAGCTGCGGGTCCAACGAGACGCGCAAGTCCTCACTCCTATAACAACGCGAAAGTCGTTGGCATTACCATCATCAAGAATGCGTTACCAACAATGAAAGTTGACACTGTGTGTAGTACACACCGAAGAGGGTGCGGTATACCGTGGTCGAGCAACTTGTTGCAAGCCCTATCTGTCATTAGCAATAGAATACCATTTTCGACTGGAGACCTCAAATATGTTTCCAGATGCAATCAAGCATGATTGACACGTTTTATGGTGCATCGACGAGCACTGACGTGCTTGTCTATACATCCTCTTCACTGATGTGCAAGCTACGTAGAAGCCGAATCGTGCTGCAGCAGACCGAATAAAGCGCCGCATGAAGTGCCTGGGAGGTCGGTCCCACGAAGCTTATAAGTGCTGTAGATTAAGACGCCTTGCGAATAATCGGAGGAGCAAATGAACGTTGCGTTAGAACGTAATCGACAGAACTTTGAGCATTGGTTTATGTTCCATTGTATTTGCATCTCTTGGTCCCATCGTTTCTTTTGACGCTGGATCGAAAGCATATTTTGCACAGTTCGCGTCTGTATGTGCTCACGTTTCTGCCTTGGTGTTTGAGGCATTAATAAAAGTCTCGCGAATGCAGGGTACGGCTGCGCTGGCTGTCGCACTTCAAACTGCGTCGTAGGAAACGATGGATTTGATACCGTCGCACATCAAATCGAACCGCCAAAACCTCGTAAGCGAAAGGAATTGAGGCACGAACGCAATCGGTGGTCAAGCATGTGAAGCGTTTTCCTCCCGTGACCACTGAGATCATTGATGCGGGCGGCATCGATCATCAAATAACTAAAGTGCTTTTCCAACAGCTTCCAAGCGACTTTTATCGACAAGTGCCGGGTGGGAGTGCTAGGTAGTTTTGCAAGATAACTCATGTGCATAGTTGCCATCTTTGTAATGCAGGCCGACATTCGCGACGGCACTCTATGTAAACGACTCGCTTTCTATTAGCGACGACAGCAACACTTTGCTCGGAAAAGCCGAGCGGTGCGCTAAAGTAGACCAAAGTGCTAGAAATCAGGCAGGAAAAGTGTTTAGCACACAATAGAAATCATGCATTGCGCTACACGAGAGCGAGATAAAGCTGAACGGGTCGACTTCGCAAACACTTTTCGTTTGGACTTGCCGCTTCAACTGGGCCGAATCGGTCAGCTGGTGTCGAAGCGAAGGCCAGCAGCGCGCGTAGAAACGAATGACGTTGGTAAATGTTGTGGCTACATCCAGTTCGCGCAAAAGTAGATTGTACGAAGTTGAAGCTAACGATACACCACTGCATCTGTTCCTTCAATTAATCCTGTTTGCATTGCTTTCATGCGCGTAAAACACAAACAAGCAATTTGACCCCGTTTCTAACAGCTCACCGGTACGATCAGCTTTATTTAACCGCATCAAATTTGCTGCACGCTTCAAAGGCATACAAGCAAGTTTACCCTATCATGATTTAGGCATGTTTTATTATTTAGATGCGCTCAACCATGATCGTGGTTGCGCCATACCGCGGCTAAATTCAACCAGATCAAGTCACACTGGCAGGGGTGTAAGTGCGAGTTTTTACAATACAGTGAAGACTAAACGACAGGAAGTTCGACGATACTGGCAGCGAGGACTTTGACATGTGTTACACCAAATGCTGTTGTCACAAAACTGCCTTCAGCAAGCAATATGAGCAGCGCAAGCGTTATCCCTCGTCCTTAGCACTACTACTACTAGGCAAATTGCAACATTCCTTACGATCACCTTTCAGTTGCTGACGTCAAACGCTTCGTGCCAAAGTAGTCAGAGGATAAATCTGAATACACCTATTTTCGTTTACTACTAAATACGATAACGTAGATGTAATTAAAGTTACCCTAGCCCTAGCAGCATTTAGGTGTATTTGGCAACATCTGAGGGCGCAGTTTAGGTTACCCTAGCCCTAGCAGCATTTAGGTGTACGTAAGAGTTAAGGTATGTATACTTAGAGATTTCCGTAGTTCGACGTTCATTGAATCGGGCATGTGGGAAGAGAAAGGCGCTCTCGCTTACGTCTCTGGTCAATATCGTGAACGACTCCACCGAGACGCGAACGAGTGTCGAAAGCGACGCCGTTCGTGAACTGTCCGTTTTTTGTAACCACTCGGACAAACTCCCTTACTGCACGTCTGGCTCTCTGACATTTTCATTCGAGGCAGCAGTGTTCATATCACCCGTGCTGGGAAAGGTCAACGAGGCTGCATGAGATGTGAGGAATCGGCTTTCGACGCTACAGCGTAGACAACGCTCGGCAGAGAACTGCTTTGACTACTGAGAGGACAGTGTACTCGTACTCAATAACGATCCGGTTGCAACCGAAGGGCTATCAAGGGACGAGAAGAGACTGCCTCACCCTTTTGTCTACCACGTACACTCGACACTACAATGCTACGAGACAAAGCCGCTGAGCCTGGTCCAACTAAGGCAACAAGTGTGGGACCCAGTAAGCGCTGTTGTTCGTATGAACGTCGTCTATTGCGTGCAAAAGTTCGAATGGAACGACTAGAAATGTCCGAGACCGACTCGTCGTGGTAGTACCAAGTATTGAAACGTCCCCGACTGCGCACGTCTGACGGCCGACAGCGCCATTAAAGACACAGATCTAGTAGACACCAAGATTGTGCCACCACCTCCTTGCTCTAAAGCAACACAGCGAGAGCGTGAAGTCGAGTGCAGCACGAGGCACTCGTCCAAATCACGCGACATGCACATCCGACGTCAACACGACCGTGTGTGGTTTATGGGATTATGGAGGTTCTGTGTCAAATCGTTCATCAGCCGGTCCGCCTATCTGCTCGTCAGTCAGTCGGTCCGGCTACTTGTCTATTGATCTATCTATCTGCCGTGCTCCCTTCAATAAGTTATGGACTCGGCGGATGGAGATTTCAATAATCTAGCGAAGGTTAGCACTCATCAGAATGTTGCGTGGTAAGATAGACAACGTCTTCGTATTACCGGCAATGTCCTGCCGCATAGCACGGATGACCTGAGGCTTGCTGGTGTCAAGGAGGGTCCAGCCTCTTTCACCAAAACAGCAGTCAAGATTCAGCCGATGAATGCGGTATCATCTCAGCACTTTAGCGGTGCTATCGCCGCTACCATCTGTAAGATGTGATCCATTCTGACGAGCACACGGCAGTCGGCAACATCTACAGAGTCGTTTGACATACTGCCATGTGCTGTGTATTAGCTGCATGATCAACGGTGTCGGTCGCCACCGTTCTCCTGTTCTCCAACTACAAGGGTGTTATGGCAAGCTTTCCCCTGTGTCTATGATGAAGATGAAGAAGAACAACGAAGATTGAAACGACATTGAGGAGGTGGATGCTAGGGTGCAGTAAAAGTCAAATGCTAAGCTGAACAGCTACGTGTCCGGGAGTCCCAAGATGACTTCAGAGCTTCGTATTTACATCGAAAAGGATGAGAGTGCTCAGCCGAGGTGACCGAAGACGAGATTCTTGAAGAGGCTCAAATATAGAGGAAGACGGAAAAAAAATTCGTGGACTCATGGAATGCAGTACCATTGAAAAGACCAACCACACTGAACGATCAGCGGCTACATCTCACCCCTCAGCGACCATCGAACAAGCTCCGCGGTCGTCCCGTTCCATCATCTATCGGAGGTTTCACCTTCACCAGCAAACAGCGCACCGGATAGAGCACTCTATCCCTTCGTCCGTCCGTCCGTCCATGCGCCTGTCTGCGTCGAAGCGGCAGCGATTCATACAATCGCTCACGAAACGCCCGTCCCGTCTGACAGCCACAACGAGACGCAACACGCACACACTCACTCACAGACCGACACCCGATCACCAGCCGCCCGACCTCGTCCGAGCTCCCGCGCGCGAAACGGCGGCCCCGTACCATCCCACAGCCATCCCCGAGTGTGCACAGACAGACAGACAGACAGACGTACATACAACGTACGTACGTGCGCGCGTGGTCCCTCTCTCTCGCCCCAGTCCCTCGGCGCTGACGTCGCTGCGCTCGTTCCCGTGGCCCCATGGCGCTGCGCTCGCCCACGTTCCTGCATCCCTGTGACAGCTGCAGCAGCTCGCCGAGTCTCCAGCGCTCGCGGTTATCCCTGCAGCTTGTTGCCGCTCGGGACCCGTCCGACGAGACGGACGCTCCTCCTCCTCCTCCTCCTCCTTCTCCTTTGGACGCACTCCCGTTCGAACGACCGGACCTTCTCCAGTGTCCCGAGCTGCTGCTGACCGGACTGGAGCTCGAGACGCGGACGCCGCTGCGGCTCTTGCATAAGAAAGGGCGACGCTTTGAGTCGCCGTGGGAGCCGTTTTTCGTCGGGATTTACGCGCACGCGCTGTTTTACTTTGCCGATCGAAGCGACTGGCCACACGGCGTCGTCCCGCTCGTGAATGCCGACGTGAAGGCAGTGGACCGTATGTTTCGACAAGGAGATGCGAGCAATGGCGGCGACGACTGCGGTCCGTGCTGGAAAGTCACGTCTTCTAGTGGACGTGCGCTGCTGTTTCGCGCGCCGTCGCATGACGCGCGTGTCGAGTGGATCGAGCAGCTGCGTCGAGCGGCAGGAGGAAAACGACGGAGTTTAGTCACGACGACACATAGTATGGATGGGAAGGCGGCGCTCGCTCTCGCGAGGAGACTCGGGCGGTCTGCGAGCTCGGCGTCGACGTCGTCGTCGAGTGCGGGAACGTTGCAGGGATCGCCGCGATTACGGACAGTTTCGTCGTGTGGACGATGGCAGAAGAAAGTAATCGTGGAAGACAAGTGTGACCAGACAGAGAGGCTGCGGGATGCGCTGCAGATGGTGGAGAAGCAGCGACGTGAGATTCAGGAATTGCAGGAACGGTTGAAGACATTTGAAATGGCGGGACTTGGGATGAAAATTAAAGAGGAAAAAAGCGAAGGTCGAGATATAAAAGCTGAAGTGAGCGAGAAGAGACAGAATGAAGACGATGTACGAACTCGAGTCGATGAGGTTATTAAACGAGACGTACGAGCTGGGACAGATGACGTTGATGAAAACGAGCTGGATCTGAACGCGATGCTGAATGATGCTCCCATTGGATTATGCAAGGTAGCTCGCGCTTCGGCGATTTCTGATGTGCTCTCTGACGATAAGGAAACTTCAGCAACTGAAGAGGACGACGATGAAGATATTGACGATCGTGTATACGACAACAAACAAGGAAATGAAAGGGAAGGTACCCAAAACTGGGCGATGGTGGATAAGTCCACAGGGACATGTTTGGACCCCGTGGACGGACTGGCTACTGAGGATGGCTCGATTGAATTAGAAATCGGGATGACGAATCCTTCATGTGACCACTCGCCTCCGTTCTTGGGAAAGTTGCCTGCGTTGAAACCACCTCAGCAAGAGGCTGTGTCGGCACCGGCAAAGCCCGTTCCTTCTACGTCCTCACTGAGTGCAGCATTGTCGCATTGCCACGATGCAGCGGAAAATGGGTCGATTCAGCAGCAAGCAGCAGAAAATGAATCAATCCAGCAGCAAGCAGCAGAGCTGGTTGAAATGGCGCGCAGCTTGAATAAGGATGACGCCAGTGACTCATTCTTGGCTCGTAAAAGCAGCGACGACGGCTCGCTACCCTCCAGCTTCAAAGGATCACACAGTGGTGCATGCATCCTTGATTCGAATGCTGGCGCTGGAAATGATTTTTTGCAGCAGCAAGCAATTGAGCTCGCCGAGATTGCTCGCAACTTGCAGTCTTCGTATCGAGCGGATCCTGATTCGTCAAAGGTAACATAGGTAACATAGCTGCAGACCGTTGACGGACTTCAAATTGACGGATTGTACTTCATGATGACATTTCTGATCAGGTTGCGTCAACGTCGACCTCCAGTTCATCGCTGAATCTGAAGTCACAAGATTCTTTTTCTGGTACGATCGTCGTCGGTAAAAGTGACACGTATCGCTGCTAAAACAGCTATGTCCGTGTGTTTTTGTTGTTCAACTGTAGGCATGACAGACTTTGGCCTGGATCAGATCAACTCAAACGGCAGCGACGATAGCATTTTCTCCATTACGCAAGATGATCTTTTCTTTGATGAAGACGAGGATGGCGAGATCGAGCGTCTGTCCGAGTTTGATGCGGTAAGCCGTTTAATTTTGTATGCAGGCATTTGTTGTTTCTAATTGCATGCTTCTGTTATACAGTCTGACAGCCAGTTTTTGGAGGCGAGTGGCTTCCTTGACTCGATTCATCAAGTCATGAAAGACTTCATTGTGTCCACCCGCCCGGACCCGTCGCGTGTTTCGGAACAGTCAGTTATCAGTGAAGAAATCGTTCCCAGAGATGCGTATATCGGCTCACCAGAGGGTGCCGACAGTCTTGAGAAGAGTTATAGGCAGCGTGCATTACGAATGGAGACTCCTGCGGATGGGCTGCCCAGTGGGACAAGTCCGAGGATACGAAGTCTCTTTTCTCATGCCCGCTCAGCACGTGACTTTTTCAGTGGAGACACTGATCGAGCTCCTGTGTCGCATGTACCGAAGGACATTTCATCCCTTGTCGTCGAGGACACGATGTCAGTTGTGGCTTCGATCCTCCAGAGCGCGGGGCGTGAGGACAAGATGCGTTTGCTGTCTCCTTTCCTCCGCATCTTTGGAAGTCACAACCGCCTAAGCCACCTCATGCGCTGGGCAATCGAGATAGAAGTAGCTTCTGTCATCAACGTGGCAACACTGTTTCGCTCGGATGATTATGCGAGCAGGTTTGTTTCCACGTACAGTAAAGCGATCGGATCAAAGTTCATCCGTGTAGCTCTGTCCGATCCCATTCGTCAGATATTTAAGTTGAAGATTGCCGACATGGAGCTGAATCCGCATAAAGAGGAGTCGCTGCAAGATGAGGCACAAGCGGGTTCCAACGCCGCGAACTTGATGCTGGCGTGTCAAAATATTATTGATTCGATCATGAAGAACGCTCACTGCGTACGTACTTGGCCTCTGATTTCCCCGGTTTTTTGTGTGACTGTTGACATGACAAGTGTTGTTTGTGTCCTCTATTTCCGCGTAGATTCCGTCGTCTTATTTCCACATTTGCTCCCATTTGAATTCGGTTGTTATCAGTCGTTTCGATGGCTCAAAAGAAGGTGTAGAGGCGGAGGATACATCAACGTTGACTCGGGTACGTGCTCACTCTGCATGTACAGCAGGTAAATGGACGAGAACGAAGCTAATCTGACGGCACTTGCCTCCACTCTTGTAGTCTGTGATCGGAGGGTTTCTCTTCCTCCGCTTCGTTTGTCCAGCCATTACCACTCCGCATTTGTATGGACTAACCAAGCTGCTTCCTCCGCCTGAGACGCGCCGTGTACTCGTGCTGGTCACAAAACTGCTATTTAAGACAGCGACTGGCGTGAAATTTGGAGACCGTGAGCCCCAATTTCAGTACGTGATGTGCTGGTCGACTAATGATCTTCTCTCGCTTGCTGACTTTGTTCGATCTCATGCAGGGCTCTCAATCCATTTATCGAGAAGAATTCTCCAGCAATTCAGCAGCTCTTTGCCAACTTGGCTATGTCCCCGAGTCAAGATATCGACGAATGCTTCGCTTCGGATAGCCGCAAGATCTACTCGCACGTATCTTCATCGCAGTTAGTCGAGGATTTGGAAGTCATCCGGTCTGTCTCGGAGAAGAACATTGAAGAGATTGAGAAGAAGTTGGAGGACTGCAATTGCGCACCCAGGGTAACCGAGAACTTCAAGGCGGCTGTGCTGCCAAGCTCCGATCCACTTCAGAAGAGCTCGTTGACGAAGAAATTGAGTGCCAATATGAAGTTCCTTAGCGGCTTTGGGAAGAAGCCCAAGACGCAGAAACAGTCCGACCAGTGAGTGACCTGTCGCAGCACCATACCGATCACCTTCGTCGGACTCACGATTTTAGATGCAGCCGGCACTTTCGGAGACTCACGGCTCTCATGGCAGCAACAGGACTCTTGTGCAGTAGTTTACTGCAGCGAAGTGCGATGTATATTTGAAGCGTCCCACCACCTATCGCAGACGTCCGCGTGTCGATCACAAAATAAACGGCAAGTCCACGAACAGAGACACTTCTACTATTACCACGCTTTACGTTCTGCAGGCCGTCTAAGCGACTACGTACGCGGGTGCACGTATCCGTTATTTAGCAGAACCGCTGTCGGGGGTGCTACTATCCGGCGCTGTTGGTGTCGGCACCTTGAATGGAGTCGCGTTCCCTGGAATAGCTGAGAAATCGTTTGTCGAAAAAGCTCGACGCGTTTGTGACAGTGACGGGTTCATACCTGCCGCAGCGAGTCGTTGCTCTTCCTGCTGCCGATTTTGTTGCGCGACCTTCCGTTCTTCCTCGGCCATAATGGCCTGCAAACGGCTGGATGAATCCTGCAACGCACTCAGCTCCGATTCCGACATGTTCCTCAGCACTGCATTGAGCGTGCTGTCACTCATAGCGTGCATAAGGTCTTCTTTCTTTTGAGACCCCGCGTCACGAATATCGGTCTCACTGCCGCTGGCGGTCAAGACGTTTATAAACCGCTGCTGCTCGATGATAACAGAGCGCATCTGCTGCACCGACAAATCATCGTCACGGTCGTCATTGCTCGAGTTGGCTCGAAGAATGTCTTCGATCACTACACCCCTGCTCAATGCGTTGTTGTAAAGTAGCCACGTCTGGATCTTACCCGGGACATAAAGTGCCGCGAGTAACACGATCAGACTCAGCGACACAAGGCCCAGCACAGCGTCATGAACGAAGTAAAGCGTCCCAACGAAGCGCGAGTTGGTGCCGACAAACATCAGTGCCCAGCAGCCCACTGCCGCCGCGAGGTATCCCATGCTTAGGAAGCATTGCCACATACCGTCCACGTACACGAATGCGAGGATGAAGCCTAGGGCGAGAACGAGCATCAAAATGAGCTTCAGGAACCGGACGAGGCCACTTTCACCGAAGGAGCGAGACGAAGTGAAAAACACTGCTTGGGCACTTAAGTAAACCGCGGCCATCGAGAAGCAAATGGCCAGCGGAAGCCATGTAGCCTCCGTCAGGATCGAGTGGTATTCGTCGTCCGTCGACGATATAGAGAACGCAATCAGCGCGAACAGCCCACCCTTGATCGTAACGCACGCCTTTGCCCATGGCCGCATGGTTGCAAAGTACGCGTTCTCCTCTTTGAACCACGCTTCCCACGACTGGTTGGGGTTGCCACCGTCGCCACGCATCCACTTGAACCACAAGCGAAAGTCTTCCATCACGTCAGACCATTCAAACGACAGAGGGTTGAACCAGAACGGTGACCAGTACCATGATACACACACAAGCCATAGCGACCACGTCATCGAGAAGTACTCATGGCCGATCGTGAAAATGAAGTAAACAGTGAGGCCAGCGGCAATTTCCACTGCAGCGTACAAGTGACTGCTCGCATAGAACCGATACAATTCATCAAAAGACGAGTGCTTCGTCACGAACCCACGGCCCGTCGCTCGGTATTTCGCACCACCCGCAAGAATAGTTTGTCCGAAGTAGAACCACTTCGTGCCGATATGGAACAAAAAGTACATCGGACCACCGGTCACGAATAGGACGAAAATCTCGCTCAACGCAGCTTTGAAACCACGTTCGACTGAGATCGTCGCTAGCAATGGAGCAGTCGTGAAGAACGCAACAGATCCCAGCATGATTTGCAGCGTGCTCAACAGTACCGGTTCGCGCCCGCCAACACCCTCAAGCGAAAGCAACGACCGTAGCAAATTGCAGTACAGCAGGAAGTATACTGTCCAGATGATGACGGACGTCGAAAAGTAAAAGCCCACATGATTGTAGTAAAATGAGAGCAGTTTGAAAAAGTCAAGGCGTTGGCCGATTCGATACACGTCACGCGAAAGCGACTGCTCCGCTGCTCCTTGTGCCAGTTTTGCCTCGAACTTGTAAATCTGCTGCATGCCAACATCACGCCCCTTGCCACACTTTGTGTACTCCGGGAACGTCACACAGCCACCGCGCATACAGTTGTTGTAACCAGCAAAGATATCTTCACTGAGATTGATACCCTTGCTGGCCTTGCTGATACCACCACGCGTAATAAAGAAGAGCTTGTTGAACACATCCGGATGGCCGTAGTGCAAACGCATGCGCAAAGGACGCGCAAGTGTACGCTGGCTCAGCGTCACGAAGGATGTCTCTTGCAGCGCCATGTAGTTAGCCAACGAACTCACACTGCCAGTAAAAATGTGTTCTGGAATGCCCACAATCGTATACGGCCGATCTTCGGTACCCTTGTCAAACTCTTCCAGCAAGTTGCGCATCTTCAATGCTTCTTCGAGATACCCGTCCTGATTCATATCAATCGTCTGCAAGTTTTCGCCACGAGTGAACACGATAGCCGCGTTCTGGTTTTCAGGTTTACCCTCACCTAATATAGGATTGCCTGGGAGCCGAACACGGTACACTTCATGCACCGAACCAAGATCTTCGCCACCCTTGATGAGCACTGAAAAGTATGATTGCTCCTTTTGATAGTTCACGCGGACCTCGTCAATATACGCCACACGAAGATTCGGGAATCGGTGCAGCAAGAACTCGATGTCATTCGCCTTTGGATCGTTGTTCTTTTTCTGACGGCCATATATCTGGCAGGCGACGACGTACGTAAACTTGGTATTGATCAAATCCTCCAGTTTCTGCTGCGGAACTTGTTCGATATCGGCAAGCAAACGAATAGCTGCCTCGCCGTACATCATACCCTGCACTGTACGTGAGAGTGTCTGGCCGCGTAATGATGCCCACATGCGCAGCTCGATGGCGGTGTCCGGATTCTTCCAAATATTCTTCTTCGGCTTTACACGCTCCAAGAAGTTCTCCCAGTCACGCTTGTACAGCGTCTGGAGGAACAGCAGTGTGTGTACATCAAGACCGTCCCGCTTGCTTTCGAGATCCTTTCTGGAGTACAAAACGTCCTCAGCATAGAACGGCGTTATCACACTCCACGACTTCATCTCATCAAGCAATGGGGCCAGTGGCATATCCATAAAGAGCGAATTCACAAAGAACAGCAATCGACGACGTGCATCGTACGACTGAGGCTCGGACTCGATTTTCTGCAAAGTCAGAAGTCCGTGCAAGTGCGATAGTACCACGTCCGTGTGGGATTCAAACGCAGTAAGCGTGATTTGCTCACCCGTGTAATTGTCGTCCCACATAAATCCTCGTTCTTGTGTAAGGATCCAAGTGAGCCGGTCAGAAATGCCCTTGCTCTCAGCGTACACCGGGTCCTGTTCGGGAACGCGAGCTAGCATCTCCTTTCCTAAGTTCAGGAAGTTACGGACACGCTCACGAATCTGCATGATGTGCGCGCTAGGGATCGAGTGAGTAGCCTTGCCGTTGTTCACAGCAGGCTTGTGCGTCTGCTGTTGCATGCGTGCAATGCGAGCAACACCAGAACCACGGCTGCGACGAGGAGGCTCGCGACCGAGCGACGACAGACCCGTCGTACTTGCAGACTTCGTCAGTCCGGACGACGCAGGACGATACGAGTTCGAATCGTGCGGAAACTCGTAGGATGTATAGTCGGAAGGCTCTTTGCGCACTGGAATCATCTTGGCATTGTCCTTCCACACACGGACATTTGACTTCAAAAGAGACACCAAACCTGCGAGCGCACGACCGCACGGGGCCACCTTCTGCAGGTCCAGCGCACGGAACACACCGCGGGCAGCCCACGAACTGAGCACACTCGTGACATGCTTTACGTCGTTCGCATGACATGGACCAAGCACATGAATTAGCACCCAGTTCGCAAGCTCCCAGATTTCTTCAAGCGACTCTTCCACCATCGGGTTTTCGCTCAGAATTTCCAGCAACTTGTCTTGAAGAACGCGCTCCGACACCTCACCGTCATTAGACGAGTAGATATCAAGGATGTAGGACGTAAAGTTTTCAAAGCAACCTGCCAGCTGAAACTGCGGCAGATAAATCTCTCTTTGATAACCATTGAGACGGCGAAAGTGAAGGACCGCCTTTTCTTTGTTCGAGATCAGGTCGTCAGCGCGCATGCTGTCAATGATCGTATCCCAGACCACTGAAAACGAGAACCACTTGCGGCGACGAGCCGCTTGCCGCTCCATTGGCGTCTGTTTGCGGCGCGAGAACGATAGCAGAGGAGTCTCGTCATCGTGAACGGAAGTATTCCGCTGTGATAGAATTTGTGACGTCGGATCTGCGCCACCGGCAACGCGCTCTAGCATCTCATGACCAACCGCTGTCGATCCATAGGGCATACCAGTACTCTCCGAGATTTGAAGCCCGGTTTTTGAGCATCGAGAAATCACCTTAGCGTTGAACGCATCCACAGCACGACCAAATGCTGAGCGGACGCGGCTGAAGTTGCGGATCTCTCCGATATGTGATGAGAAACCCACAAACGTACCTGTGAAGGCCATCCAGATTGAATTCCAAATCGTTATGTCCACGCAGAAAACCAGGAAGAATGGCATCCAATTCAGGAAGATAAGAAACGTGGTTGTGATCATGCTCACGTTATTTTGCACATGATCGGCGTAGAGCAAGAAACTCGGCACGACAAGTGGGGAAATCTCAAACTTGTAGCTGAAGTACAGCTTCCAAGACAGCTGCGAAACCCAGAAAATCTGGTAGCCCACACTTAACGACTCAGGGTCTAGCACGTTGTCACCAATGTACAACCGGTTCGTGGGGCTCATAATGTCACGAATGAAAGCGACAGGGGCGACATTTGTGCGTCGCGCCCAGTTCGTAAAGCCAGGCATGACCTGCATGACACAATTGAGCAACCCCGGGATGTGGAAAAGTAGCACAACCACATAATATGACTGCCACCAAGAACCGCCGTAAGCCCAGGCACACCAGTACAACATCGAAGACGCAACCAACACGACCAGGTGCAAAAGCATGCGAAGCACACTACGCAATGCCGAAGATGCCTTCTGGTGCACGTGGTACACAGCAAAAATATCGAGACCGTCCCGAAGAATGTCCAGTAAAAATGGCGTAATGAACGCGCTTGAGACGATCTTGCACGACTCTGTGATGCCCATTTCTTGCTCGTTCACGAGCGCGAGAGCTGCCAAAAAGTGGAATGAGAGTACGTGGAAGTTGAAGATACGGTTGAACGCGCGTAGAGGCAAAAGCCACGTCCGCTTTTCCACAAACGTCTTTGCAGATTCTGTAAACCCTTCAGCAATGCTTTTACGATTGTTCGAGCGACTAGTGCTTTTGGCGCCGCTGTTGAGTCCACCCCGACCAATGAAGCCGCTCTGCTCGTTCAGACCTTCACGCTGCTGCTTCCTCCGTTTAAAATGCATGCTGGGGTTTGGCGATGCCATGTCGATGACCTCCTCGTGCTTGTAGTCGTACTTCAGGCAAGCTCTCGACCAGAAGAATTCGTTGAAATCATCGTAATTGTGCCGATCCTCGTGATCGTACTTGGACGTCATTTCGGACTTCAGCAGACCGTATACGGGCGTCACTACTGTGTCCAAAAAGTAACCCGCCTCGCGTTCAGCGTGACGAGAAGACGGAAACTCCTCCTTCATTTTGTGAAACAGGAAGCACACAAACTCCGGAGAGTGACGCAAGTTACTCGCCTCACCCCAAATGAAGAAGAATAAACACAAGTCCACCGAAATCTCATCCACGCTAGTGAGACCACCTTGAGGCGCCCGATGTTCACTCCAGTGCAATGGCTTAATCATGAGCTTCGAGCACCACTTGTTGTAGTTGGAAAACACCAAGGCGTGCAGCTTCCGATATGGATTGCCGCTCTTGCGAGTACTGTTGGTAAGAAGCATCACAATGTGCTCCGTCTGATTACGGAAGTTATCCATCTGAAAACCAAACGCGCGTTGCACATTGACCGCAATGCGGAAGATGGTACTGAACTGCTGCATGTTGTGCGGCAGCTTGGACGGCGAGAAAAAGTTCATCATGTCCTTTTCCACGCCCGACATGTCGTCATCCTCAGGTCGCCACGACCGAGCATCCGAGCTCGCAGACACCGGCGGGAATTTAGCTTTGCGCGCTTTGATCGTATCGTTGCGCAGAAACAGCCCACGCATGCGATAGTATGCATACGCCGTAGTGACCACACTAAGCATGACAAGCAAGCCATACATCGCAACGCAATGCTCTGTGCAGAGGCCGAGGTGGTCGCGTTTGTGGCCATTGAAGACGAAACCAGCGAGATCCCATGCATTCTCTGCGAAGTCGCCATTGCTCACCCACAGCGACAACGACAACAAAAACGCCAAACTCCCGAGCCACGATGTCGACAGAATCACAATGTGCTTGGTATCGATCTGCGGTGCACATCCCAGTGCAATACCAGCGCATACCAGCACTGCAGTTATCACTCGTGTGGACAGCAGCGGAACGAACTGACTAATCACCACACCGCAGTACAGCCCAAGTATCGCACCTAAGGACACAGGGTATACAAGGCAGCATAGACCACCAAGCACTAGTCCGCACAGGCAAGCAATTGTGGTTTGAACCCATACATAATCTGCAGGAGCGCTAGTAGTTAAGACTCCGTAAATCGATGCAGTAAGCCATAGCGAGCTAGCGTAAGCTGACATCGCTTTCGGATGGGAAGTGCCACAAAATGCCATGATGAGGCCCAGTAGCGCATTCATCAGAGCAAACGCCTGCAGAAGACCGATGTCTACGCGTAAAGACACATACCACGGCAGACCGTAATTCACTGGATTGGCATAGATCCAACTAGATGTAGGAAACGCCTCTGGGTTGCATCCCACCGATGTGTATCGATTCGGGTTGCCCTGGTAGACACGCACGTAGTCGATCGTAAAGTTTGAAGGCCACAACGAGTCACAGATCTGACCGGAACACGGAGGAGAGAACTTTTCGGAAACGGCCGTACTCAGAATGAGATAACTGGGTTCCACTGGGATTCGGCGAGGAGGGACATCACCCACCCACTTGTTCAACGCGGACCCGGGAATCTCAAACAAGAAAGAATTGTCCATCCACCAGCGAATGTAACCCTCCGGACCGGGCGACCAGTCCAAGCGGTACAGGTGAAATGACTTGAACGCGTTAGATTCAAGTTGTGTGAGCGCCGAGATAGAATCGAGACCCAACGTGCCGTAGTAGTCGCTGTTAATGCGGGTGAACTGGCCAAACTTCAGGCCCTGGTACCATTGTCCGGGACCGGGCATGTTTTCAGACGCAGGGCGCATGTCGTCCAACAAACTAGGACGGATCTGCAGCGACGTTGAAATGAACGCCGGCTCGTCTCGTGCACGAATCTGGGCTTCAATCACATCGATCTCGGTGGCTCCACGACCTTGGAAGGGATGTAAGCCGTAATTTTCCGGGTACGACTTCTTATCGTGCTTGTCAGTGAGATTGCCACATGCATTAATCTTCTGCTTGACTTTCTCCAACTTTTCAATGTACGGAGCGCACACGTCAAAGCTCCAGGGCCACGTGCCGTCTTGAGAGCCCAGAAACGGAGCGCGGCCAATATTGCCCATGATCCAGATAGCTGGCCACGTGCCAGGGATACCCCACTTGCCGGGCAAGATCGCCCGGACTTCGACATAACCGCCCGTGTAGCAGAACTTGTTCCACGTCTGCGCACTGCCACTGACGTACTTGGCCCCGCGGTAGCGATGCTTGGGCTTGGTCGTGGTGATGATGAGATTGCCCTTGTCAATCTGCACGGCTTGAGGCAGGAAGTAGTGCTGCCCCATGTTGGTGGTATCTCGAATGTCCACGGCCGTCCACTTCGGGTCAAAGCCCGCTTCAAACGTACGCTTTGAGCTGTTGAACTCGTCCGAGAAGATGAGCTCGTACTCGTAATTGAAGCTGGCGTTCCCGCCAAAATCGTACGGACCGTTGGGCACGAGCGCCGTGTAAAACTCGGGATCCGTGTCGGGGTCAATCCACTGCTTTTGGAACGCGGTGAGGTTCTGTTGCTTACGCTCTTGCACGTGGGAGAGGGGCATGAGCGCCTCGCAGCTCACCAGCACCGCAAGGGAGAGTAGCGTGCACCACGCGCAAGTTCGCGCCATCGTCAGCGCCACGCAGCACACAGGGGCGTTGTCGTCAGTGGCTCTCTTTCTATCTCTCTCTGCTGAGCAAAATGTGGAATGAGGTTGGCTGGCAGATAGATCTTCCGACGGGGAGGACGTCACATAAAAGCTGCGTGGATTCGGGTCCGGGTCGGGCTGGCCACGAGTGGCATACAGAAACCAGGTCTGTATCGACCCGGCCGATATTTTCGAACCGGTACCTCCAGCTGCACTATTTGCGTTTTTGACTGGTCCGCAAGCACCAAACCAAACCAAGCAATTGTCCCCCTCCTGCACCACCTGATTTGGTCCGTCACGGTAGAGCTCGGCATTGAGCTTTGCCTCCAATCCTTTTTTGGTGCAGTGCGCGACTGGCTGCAGTCGTGGCGGGATCGTCCGCGACGTGCAACCGCTACGCTGCAGGCGATTGACGTACTGAAAAATCCTGATGTACTATAGCCGGCACTATAGCCAGCGCTCGAGACTCATGAGCGGCGCGCTGTACCTATGTCCCTTTATCATAAATCGTGCTGAAGCTGAAATGAAGTGTACACTTGCACCTCAAATCGTGAAATAGGTTGTCACTGGCCACTAAGGACGCGGTGATATCCTGCTTCAGTCTGCGATGGCAAGTTGATAGCGTGAGTGGCACCACTTGACCATGAGACTCTGCGCCTGACTTGAGTCTCCTCAATGCACGATGTGATCTCCAGACGCATGCGCATAAATCAGCAGGAGGGCCTCTCTGATTTACAACGCGTGACAAGCGTTGCAGTAGTCACGTAGTTACATTACGATCTGTATCAAAAACGATCCTTACCTTATTCTGAGCAGAAACGGGGCAGTATGATGTAAAAGTTTCAATGAGGTACGACGTCACAGCTCGAACCTGATAGAAATGTGCAAATACGGTCCAGTCGTGCTGCAAATCTCTTCACTTGTACATTACAGTTTCTAAAACCAAATAAAAAAAAGCTACCATTGCTCGTTCTTGCAAACTCGATAATGCTGCATCGAGTTTCAGAAACACCTGTGGGTGTATACTGCGTGGACCATCCGACGTATACAGCTGCTCTCCACCAAATATTTACACTTCGTACGTCAACCACCACTGACCACCTCGTGATCATCATCATGTTGCGCCGGACTTGTCTGCCTATTCTGGCGCGCACTCTTCCTGCACTCGCTTGTACTTTTGCGACCGACTACTCAGCCGTCACAGCTGAAAACATTCGCAATGTGGCCATCGTGGCACACGTCGACCACGGCAAAACGACCTTAGTGGACCAACTGCTCAAGCACGGAGGTAACACTCTGTCCGAAGAGCGCGTGATGGACAGTATTGACCTGGAGCGTGAACGTGGCATCACTATCATGTCCAAGTGCACGCGTGTGGAATACAACGGCCACGTGCTCAACATTGTCGACACGCCGGGGCACGCTGACTTTGGTGGCGAAGTAGAGCGCATCTTGAGTATGGTGGACGGCGTGGTGCTAGTTGTGGACGCGACAGAAGGACCAATGTCACAGACCAAGTTTGTCCTGACGAAAGCGTTGCACCGCGGGCTAAAGCCGCTCGTGGTTGTCAATAAGGTGGACCGAGACACGAGCCGCCTGGACGGATCAGTAGAGAACGAGTTGTTTGACATGTTCGTAGCTCTTGATGCCGACGACGATCAGCTGGAGTTCCCGGTACTGTACGCGTCTGCTAAGCAGGGCTGGGCTGTGCGTGATCTGGACAATGAGAGCGAGACGCGTGACAGCATGATGCCACTACTTGACGAGATTACCCGCTATGTGCCTGCACCGGAAGCCAATTCCGACAAGCCGTTTGCGATGGCCGTTACCATGATTGGCCATGATCCGTATGTTGGTCGCCTGGCAACAGGCCGCGTCCACGCCGGAGCTGTCAAGGTGCGCTATTGATGGCAAGTACACGACGACCACTGCCTAGTTCTGACTTATGTTTGCTATGTGTTGCAATATTCGTGGAATAGATTGGCGACTCGATTCAGGTGATGAATCGTGACAGCAAAAAGCTGGAAACTGGCCGGGTCACGAAGATGTTTGTAACCCGAGGTGTTCTGAAATCAGAAATTACGTCAGCTACAGCTGGTACGCACTCAAGCCCGACTCAATTGCTTCGCTGTGGCTTACTCGTACCATTTTCTTGTCCCATTGTATACATGTGCCATAGGTGACATTATCACTATTGCTGGCGTTAACGCATTCGTGTCCGATACCATCGCTGATGTGGCTGTGACGGAGCCCATTCCATCTCCTCAGTTAGACCCTCCCACGATTTCGATGACGTTTGGTGTAAACGACGCGCCGACTGCAGGCAAAGAGGGCAAGTTCATCACGTCTTCTCACATCAAGCAGCGTCTTGAGCGTGAGTGCGAGGTAAGCGGTTGTCCGGTCTCCGTATCTTCACTGTTCTGTGCTGAATGAATCTCTAAGAAGTGCTTTTAATCGGCATGATAGAACAACGTTGCTATTTCCATATCTCCTAGCACTTCATCCGAAGCTTTCGATGTCCATGGACGCGGGGAGCTTCAACTTGCTATTTTGATCGAAGAAATGCGTCGGGAGGGCTTTGAGATGTCCGTCTCGGCCCCGCAGGTACTATTTCAGACGGATCCAGAGACAAAGCAGAAGCTAGAGCCAATCGAAGAAGTGACAGTTGACGTCGATACGGACTTCTCAGGCACGGTGATCGACAAACTGTCCACCCGCGGTGGCGAGATCGTCGAATTCAAGGAGATGCACGACAAAGTGCGTCTTCAGTTCAAGATTCCCAGTCGTTGTCTCATGGGTTACCGAAGTGAGGTATGTTTCATGTTAAACCATGTCGCTAGTTCAAACTATTGAGCAGGTAGTGCTGACTTGTGTCTCTGCTTTAACCTGTAGATTAAGACTGACACCCGTGGAAGCGGTATTCTGAACTCGATCTTCCATGGCTACTCTCCTTATCAAGGCTCGTCTACTCCTCCGTCCAAGGGCAAACTCATTTCTTCTTCGAGAGGCGTGTGCACGGTACGAACGACCCAGCTTACAGACTATCTTCTACACATGTGTTCAGACTCTCTCTGACTGCAGTTGTCCATTTACCCAGGCCTACGCGCTAAACTCACTGGAAGATCGTGGAGAGATGTTCGTCAAACCTGGCGATGAAGTGTACGAGGGTATGATCGTGGGCGAGCACAGTCGCCCCACGGACATTGAGATCAACCCTACGAAGGAGAAGAAGCTCACCAACATGCGCGCAGCCGGCACGGATGAGAACGTCAAGTTGTCTCCTATTCGCCAGATGTCCCTCGAGGATGTGGTCACCTACATTGGCGAGGACGAAATGATTGACGTCTCCCCGACCAAGATCCGCATGCGAAAGCGCGAGCTGACGGCCAACGAGCGCAAGCGCGTGCAGGGCAAGAGGAAATAAGTCGATACCGCTTGTAGTAGTGCGTGGTGATATCACCGATCGATGGCGGGGTCGCAAGCTGCTCCGTCGTCGACGACCACATCGACGAAATAATCGATGCCAAGTGCTTGTTGAAGCCATGTGTCGAACAATGTTGCTGCAGGAGTCTTACGTTGCACAATCGAGTTTCACTCTTTTTTGTAGGTCTTCATTGACTGGCAGCTCATTCATTCATTAGCCAGTCCGCGCCATGACGCTGTCCCCAGAGGAGGAAGCTGCATACAACGTGCTGTGCATGCGAGTACAACGCGACGTCAACTGCCTCACGGACGCCGATCGCACGGTACGTCGTCGAGGTGTGGACAAACTGCATCGTGCGCTGCAGTACGAGGCACCGCGCGTGTCGGACGCAGTGCTGCGCGCGCTCTGCATGTCCCATCTGCTGCGTCCGTTACTGCAATGCGCCGAGCGTGACGTGGTAGAGAAATGCCGTGAGCAAGCACTTCGATCGCTGCTGTTTTTGTGTGAACATGGGGCGCTAGAGCAGTCGAACGCGACGCTGAAAGAGATTGTTGCGCTCATTGACGCTCGACTGGGTACGTTCCCGTTCCCCGAGCCCACGGAAGAGATCCGTCTGCTTCTTCTGCAGCTGCTGTATGCATTCCTGACGCAGCTAGCAGCAGTACATGGTACGCTGACGTCGTTGCAAGACGTCATTACAGAGCTGGCCAATGCGCTGAGCAAGACGGCTGTGGATCCTTTCCCGGACGCAAAGAAGATGTCGGCAGAATGCGTCATATTAATCGCTCGCACTTGGAAGCATGAAATGTGCTTGCAAATTGGCACTATCGTTCGGCCGATGATCGCAAATTTAGGTCACCAGCACAGTCGTGTGCGTGTATGTGCATTGCAGGCACTTGAAGCAGCAGTGCCCTGTGGCTCGGAAGCTCTTCCACACCTTATGAAGGAGTTACTGTTACCGGTGGTGAGCATAGTGGTACTTGATCAATCGCCGTCCGTAAGGAAGCAGCTGGTAGTCACGCTGGCGACGTGGATGGCCCAGTCTGAGCAGATTGAGCAGTTTGAGGCATCTGTATTCCCCATTTTTCTAGCAGGTGTGGCTGACGATGCGCCCGATGTGCGTGTCTTATGTCTTGCTAAATTGAATGATCTATCAGTGATTTGGGAGAGTCGCGGTGGGGCCAGAGGCGTTGGGCCAGGCGACGAGCTGATGGAGGTAGATTCGGAACCTGCTAGCAGCATCCCTCCATTTTTCTTTGACACCCGCCCACCGATCGGGGCTCGCAATTTCGCAGCAAGCATTACAGCTCAGGTGTTGCCCTTTTTGCTCGAGAAAACTGGAGACTGGACTGCGCGAGTGCGTGAACGCTATACAAAAGTACTGGCTGCATACCTGATCTTGCTGGAGCAAATTATGAACCCATTTCTCGACGACGTATTTGCAGCGATGGGAAAGACGTGCCGTGACGACGAAGAAATTGTTTGCAATAGTGTAAAAGCATGCTTGGTCGTTGTTGGCTTCTATGCAGACCCCCGAGTGATCCTGGCCTCCCTGCGTCCTATGATAGCAGGCACGCTAACGGCACAGGGTTCTACACAACACCGCACAAATGGGTTGAAAATGTTGCGCATGTGTATCGAAGGCATGACGAAGCAAACCATCGATGCTCACTTGGAGGTAAAGGTTGCAATGATTGAACCAGCTTGTTCTAGAGGTCTGAGAACTTGGTGTGCTTTTTGTTGCGTTGTGAATTTTCTGCAGTCGATCACTGAAGCACTGTGTGATGCTGCTCTGTGCGAATCCGAAGTGTCGGACCTCCAGGATAATATGGCTGGTGTTGTAGCTAGTATTGTCAAGGCTGCTGGATCGATGCTCGCGCAAAGAGACGATAGTTGCTTCCGTATATTCTGGATATTGAGCCACCTTCTAGCCTCGTCGTCTGAATCATCGGTTGCTTGTCAAACGGTAAACTTCAATGAGCGATGTGCTGCTCTTGAAATGGCTTATGTTTGAGTGCATGCTCTTCTATTGTGTGGTCCCAGGCAAGTAAATGCATGAATGAGCTTGCAACCCACATGAAGCAGCCGGTAGAGGTGAGTCAACAATGGTACATCTTTTTCTCGAGTTTGTTCCTCAGATTGAGACAACACTTTTACTGTAGACGCTCTACACCTGCTATATGGGTAGACTTATGGATGCGATGGCGCTCCCATCCACTGCAGCTGCAAGCTGGCAAAAAAACAACCCAACTCGGCTACTCTTTGACTCACTTTGCCGGCGCGGAGGAGTGGTGCGGAATATCTGCGTGCTAGCGCTGGGTCGGTTTTGCCTGTACCTAATGCATCAACGCTTATGTTATGCTCAGGCATGTTTCCAGAGGCTGGATAAAATTGTGCCTGTCCTCGTGTTGCATTTGGAACCAGCTCAGGACGCAGATGTTCGGCTTGCTTTCCTTGCATTGATGGAGACAATGCTGGAGAGGGATACGACCGGTCTGGTATGCCATGCATCAACACATATAGTCGCGGGTGCAAGAATTGACAGAATTGTGCTGTGCTCAGGCCTTGAGATCGTTTAGTGGGGTGCTACTTCAAAAGGCAATAATGCCTAACATTTTTTGCCACGGAGAGCGTATAGCTGCAACCATCAGGTAGAGTAGACACATCTGGATGAGCTCGTTCTCGTGGACCGCTAACACTCATAATGATTGCACTTCGTTGATCAGAAAGGTGGCCGTCGCTTGTGCGTGTACCTGCCTTCGTCAAGGTATCGTCGACGAGTCATGCCTCACTGAGACCGCGCCTCAGGTGATTGTTGTCGTTGCTGCATGTTTGTCGGCAACTAGTCGTGCTAAGTGAATGCGCTCGTGGCACTACTTCCGTATAGGTGCTACTCGTACTGCGGTCGGCGATAGATGACAGCGACGCCAACACTCGCCAGCTGGTTTGTCTTGCGCTGCAGTATTTGTTTCTGGTGTCGCCCGGCTGTCTGGGAGGTAAGTTGTGCGTCCATGTTTGTACTTGACGCAACTTACTTCCGACAACCGATTGACATTTTCCACAGAGGAACCTGTTCAGCAACTGCATTCTGAGATACTGAAGCGTCTGGATGATAGCAACGACATTGTGCGGAAAACCGCCTGCCAGACGCTTGCCACGTTCCTGAAAGCAGCGCCAAAGAAGCATGTACAAGGACCTATCATCGACTACACGTTGGACTGCCTTTTTGTCCACCTCGACGATTCTGAGCCCGAAATCCAGGTAAACACCATGTCATGGGAACGAGTTTTTTTTCAATCCGTACGATTAACGTCTGTCTCGTCCTGTCCTGTCCTGACTGATTGACCCGAGCACAGGAAGCCGTCTACAGCGTCTTGCGAGAAACCGTTGCCATTGATGCCCCCCGCCTTGTGAAAAAAGCGAAAGAAAGCCGTGGTCGTCATCAGAATACTCGTTACTGTGAGCAGCTTCTTTCATTAGCTACTGCGGCGAAGCAGTCGACAGGAGACACTTGAGCTATCCCAACGATAGCTCACGTTGTCAACAATAATTGTACGAGACTCACGCTGTCCAGTGGCAAAACAAAGTTAAGCCGTTTCCAGTTTCTGCTCGTCCAAGTGCTGAAAGTACGCCACCAAGTCCTCGATGCGCTTCTTGTTCCTCTCTTCTTCCTGTAACTGTCGTTCCAGTTTCAGCATCTTCCTCTTGCGAAACAACGTCTTTTTCGCCTTGAAGACGAATTTTGGCGGAGATTCTTGACTAGCTGCCTCGCCGACCGAGTTGCCCACTTGCTGCCGCACAGACAGTCCCTTTCTGCGTCGACGAGCAGCCGGAGCGACCCGTGCTCGCGTGTCTTTGTGGTCTGCTTTCACCGCGTTCTCAGCATTCTCCTACAGCGAAAAACGACATGTTGGGACTACGTTTGAACCGGAAAGATCACGTGTAATGTGTACACTGCCTGCACCTTATCATTGTCACCTGGAACGAGTGCATCTTAGTATCCGTGTCGTCCTCAATCGACAACGCAAGGTGATAGATGTATATTCTACGTACTGCTACTGTCTCTATCTGGCGTGTCGGCTAGCTGGCACGTCTTCTTCCAGGGAGCTGTGCGTTCCCGTCCGCGCGTCGGCATTGTTGCACTTCACGAGCTGAAGTTGAAGTGACCATCATTCCTCGAGATCACGGTCTCTCTTTCACAGACCTTCACTCTTCCGAGTGATCTCACATCTGTGTCTAATTGGTCAGCTGCGTCGACTTTTAGCGAATCAAATCGTGCTAGGAACCACTTCTTCTCCCGCACAAGCAGACAAAAAGCCAAAGCACCCGCATTCGGATGAGCGCACCAACAGTCGTCGCTGACGAGCCTCAGGGCACTATCACTATTGAGGTACCGGAGCATGTGCTGAAGAAGATGCGCAACCAGATCTTCCAGGCCGTCGACGTTCGAAACGTACGCGGCCTCTCTCAGTTCTTCGGTCTCGGTGCGTCCCACGCTCTGTTTGCCTCTTCCGCCTTTGTGTCTTTTTCGTACTTATCACGTGTGATTGTCCTTGCAGGGGAGGAGAAACCATTTAATGTGCCAGGACGTGACGTGCTGGCCTCGAGGTGCCGGAAGAACGCTCTGTTCTTCAGCGCCAACTACGCAATCTCGGCGGCGCTCGTTGGCGTCGTCACGATGTAAGTGGCCGAGCTGAAATGCTGTGGACTCGTGGCTTTTCTTACTAATCTGTGGTGGTCGTGGTGGCTCGTCTGTCTTGCTGTTGCCCTTGATATAGCTTGCTGAACCCGTTCTTTTTGTTCGTGCTTATCTGTCTGGGCGGGTTTTGGCTCTACATGACGAGCGCGACAGCGAATGAGACGCCTGAGAACCCGACCAAGATTATGGGACGTAATGTGACACCCGATCAGCGGAAACTTGGCATGCTGGGTGGTATGAAGTGCCGTTTTAGATGGTGAGCTGCTGCTAAGCCACGTTGTGGGCTCACACGTTTGTTGTTTGTTGTTGCTTTTTTGGCGCGTTCTTAGTGAGTGCCGCGGTGGTGGTCATTTTTGGAGGGTCGATTCTGTTTACGATCTGCTCGGCCAGGTCAGTGACTTGATCAGCGCACGCGCTTGAGTGCTGGTAAACAACGTTTTGACGATCGTGGTGTGGATTTGGTATGTTGTGGTGCATGACAGCGGTGCTCTCGCCATGTCGCATGCGATTCTGCGTGACTGCGCTACTATTTGCGAGGAAGACGAGCTGGGCTTTTTGTCTGGTGACGCTGACCAGATTGCGGACACTGTGTAATCGTGACATGGGCAACAAGTCCGACTGGAGCTTTTTCTAGGACTGCATAAGTTGATTTGGAATCGAGCGAAGACGAGGTTTACCATCGACGTATGAGGCATCCGCGAGACAACAGCTTGGATGGCGAAGCTTTGTGAAACTGGCTTGATTTTGCATCGAATGATGTGGTTCTTGTCATCTTGGTACGAGGGTGGTGAGCGTAGTGTTTCTTTTGTAGCTTGGAAGATGCCGACATGGGACAGGTCTGATAGCTGGACCTGCTGCTGCAAGGCTGTGGTATACAGCTACAAGCAAATGCGAGACATGGCGTAGTGCGCGTAATCTTTTTCGATCGAAAGCTCTTTACACGATAATGTCAGTAGTGAGGATCCGGCTACCGGTACAATGGCTGGGTAATAATCCCTCCGTGGACCCGAACGTGCGAATTTAGCAATTTCTCATTGAAAACCTTTTCCGGAGAAGGGCAGCGTTAAACGTATTGGCCGCTAGGGTGTCATTGTACAGCTGGTTCTTCTCCATATGATTGCGAGCCCGAAGGGATAAAGCTAGTAGTGACTGTGCGCAAGGTAAATGCCGGACTTTTAAAACTGTATTTATCTGTGTGAATGTCTGCCTGTAAAGATAGGAAAAGCTCAAGAGCTCGCCTTTGATATAACAGGGGATCAAGCTCTGGAGCTCGCCCCTTGATAAAAGTAAATTAGCACGGAGAACTGGATCAAGTTGCAGAACAGTACACAACAGCAGTCACTGAAGAGTTATATGACGCTCTTATTGTCCAGTAACCCGGTTCAGTATAGTACTCTGGCCAATTTGTTTACGGACCAAAACAGACTTGTTAACAAACATAAGCTATTATGACTGGCTAAAAAAACTCTTTATTTGGTCTGGTTTGTTTGGCGATTCATCAGCACAGACAAGCTAATTTGAGGTATTCTTTGGCAATGATCGCTCATTTTTTGAACCTGCAGCACCCGCGATGCCTCGAAAGCCGACCGCGCCGAATGTGCACCCTGCAAAGCACGTTGTGGTTGTGCTTCTTCTGAGCAGCCGCACACATGGAAGAGTTCTCACCAAAAGCACTGTATCAGCAGCAATATCAGAATTGCAGCTTTGTAACGGGGCACCCTTTGTTTGGGGTGCCACGTAACTACACGTACACTAGTACGTGCAGAGGAAGCTGAACTACTCAAACAGCTAGTTTCAGCAAAGGTACAAAGAGAACTGTAATTAATATTGTTAAGCTATCAATACAACTTCAGTCTTTATCTAACTATGTTATTCTACATTGTTGTATGACGAAAACCTGCTCACCGCTCATTGCGCGCGTCTAGCAGCGATTGGTGGTAATCCTTGTTTGATATGTCTTATATTAACTAATCTTGAAGCAGCGCATGAAAATTATCCAAAACGGGATGATATTCCTTCAATTAAATCTATCTCGGATAATTATTGGTAGGGAATTGTCACGCTAGACAATCTCCCTATTGACACCGTTTAGTGTCAATATCATGTAACAGGCTCCCCCGTTACAAGCTTTGTCGTTCGTCCATACGGAAGATCTGGTACATACGCACTCATTTTCAAGCTCTCTTCACCCAGATATTACTAGCCAATCTTCAAGAAAAATGAGGCCGAGTCTGTATTAAACCGGGAACATATTATGGAAAAGACTTTACTTTCGCACGCGTTCCCGACGCGTTTCAGCCCAATTCCGGGGACACCCTCACTGGCTTACCACATGCATTGTGAGAGCTCTCAGTGCAGCGGCCTCTGCCGCTTCCACACGTTTCTCTTCGCATCGTATCTTCTAGAACTACATCTTAAACGGACTAATATAACGCTATCCAGCAGGCTTCACCAGCGTACAACTAGTACCCGGCTAGGTAAAAAATGACACTTTTCAACAGAGCCAAGGTGGCGTCCGCGATACAGACTGTCCCGCACGTTGCGTGCTCTAATGAACGAAACTGGAATGTCAAAGTCACACCCCACCGCTACATGAAGCCGGGCGTCCTTGATAGGCAAAATCTGTACTGTTTTGCATGATAAAAGTCGTTTACACGGACTGAAATTTAGAACAGACCCGTTGACTTGTTTTTAAACCGATGTATGATGTTGTTCATATAGATGATGAATAAATTAATTTTTACAGACATCGACGCATTATTGTCTTGCTGGCAACGAAGTTTTACCATAGCACTCAACCCCGAGCAAACGATATATCAACAAAGTGACGTTTTGGCCGCAGTCGCGCGGCCACGGGACGACATTCCCAGGAATTACAAGTTCGACGAGAAGATCGGCATATGGCCTATCTTAGAGACTACTCCAGAGAAGCGCTCTTCTGCCAAATGCACTGCTGTTTTTTTGGTCATGCAGAGCTTTTATGATGTGTGAAGTCTACGGCCGCGTGCTCAAAGAGAAGGTATTCTTAGTAATCACGAAGCTTTGATCAGGTAACTGTTTGATTCGTTTTTTTTGCAATTGATCGAAATTTTGTGTTTATGTTAGAAACTTCATTTAGGTGGCCGATCGTCAACAATCAATGTTCAGCAACAACGCATGACCGCACGTCTTAGAGTACAATGCTGACATCCTAGATGCAGGGAGAAGCGAGAGCTAGAATATTGTGATGCTGTGCCATGCCAGCCGCCGCGATCCGCGGACATGAATGTGTTGGACCTTGAAGTGTTCAACTCTCTTCAGTCGGTGCAGTAACAAGCCAGAAAGTAATACGACCGAACACTTATAGATGCTTTCAGCAAAGCGTTCGAGAGAAGTCAAGAGGACAAAATAGACAACACGTTCTTGATGCTGCAAAAGGTAATGAAGAAGATGATCGAGAACGAAGGTGACAATAAAATTTAGATGCCACAAGATGCTGCATGTCAAGAAGAGTCAATTTGCACGTGGAGCGCATTCCTCTTCTTTGCCGATTGCTTCTGAGCTTGTTTGTACATGGGGACCTTCTTTAGCAATAATGGCTAATTTGAGCCTTGAGTTAGGATCACAATGATACTGAAAAAGAGTGGTTTTTTTTGGCTACCTAATTACATTTCTTACTTTTTCTTAATCCGACATTTCTGCAAATTTATTATGAAAAGTAACATCTATTTACAACAATTTTGGGTTTTTTGTATTAAACTGTTGGTAGGATTGTCACAATGCTATTTAAGACTAAAACTTCTTTTTCGAGTGGAATCTAACATCCTTAAATTCAATGCTTTAAAAATATCGCATAAACGATCAGATAAGTAAACGATTATTTCTGCGGGTTCTGCAGTAATGGGCCAAAAAATGAAAAAAAGCCTCAGAATGAGCTCTTTGAGCTGGTGGCGTTTTCGTCTAAAAATACTGGCTGTGTCAAAAATAATATACAAACGCGTGATCACTCATACGCAAATGAGAAATGATTAATACTTAAGCCACGCGATAAGCCTTTGCGAATGAGCGTCGACCATCTGCTTATATGTTCACGTTTACCTTTGACTGAGGATAAGCCAATCACGTGCGTGCTTCACCATAGTGACCTTGACAAAGAGTGAATGTGAATATACATATGTACTAATGTTGGGGTACGGTCTAGATTGCACTTAGTATGAAGGTACACCTCGCCGCGTTTTAACACACACACACACATAAGTACAAGCAGAAATTTTGGCAATTAACTTGTGCATATTCAATAATAGCTTCACCCTTCAGGCTCGCAATGTAGTTTATATGATCCTGGTCCCCCTCATTGATTAATAAAGGTAAATCCGAAGTCACTGTTTGGCTAAGTCACTGCTGTATCCCATGCACTTGATCGGCTTAAAATGATCAGAGGTGAAAATGATCACGTAAGTAAATGCTGGTGCTCATAAGTAAAGTTTATTCATGTTGCCCGAGCACAGTTATAGGTTGCTGTATATATTCACCGCATCATATCATTCAATATTGACTGCTGTTGTATAAAGTTTGTAATTTTGATCCAGTTCTATAGACTGAATTCCTGATACCAAGAGTGTTCGTAGACCTTGCTCCTTAATCTTACCCTTTATGAAGGGGTGGGGCGAAATCGTAATATGAAATTTGCTATTCTGTCGCAAGCTTTAGTAGCACAAGAAAAGTCAAACGTACTGGTGGTGAGTGAGTCATTGTACCGGCGATTTGTTTGGCCAATCAAAATATGATCTTTTAACATCAATTAGTAGACCCAATTCCGATAATGCCATGTTAGCTTTGATACACCTGTCCGATACCAATTAATCAAGGGAGAGATAATAAGCCTTACAAATTTACTAATGAGCCTCCCCAACAAGTAATATGATGAGAGGCCTCCGGATGGTCATATCCTACTGTTGTACTCCTCATTTAAATTGTCGATCTGTCTCATTCTATCTACTATCGAACATTAAACCTCCTTCCTTACAGCAATATGAAAGGCCTAATCCATCCAACGGCGCTCTTAAACGTGCCGAGAACTACCTTTACACACATTTTACAGGCGCCAGCAAGAAAGCAAAATACCGTCTTATCTTGCTTTTCGTGAGGGTGAGGTGGGACACCATAGTTAGTTTTAATTTTGGACAAAGTATTTGATTTCGCATGGCTCGGATGTTGTTTCCAGCCTTCCAGAAAGTAACGCAGAGACTGAGTTGTAAATGTATGACTGTTCATTTTTAATCAAGGTAGTCAATGATGAGCTTTCACTCCATGCATAAAACAAAATAATTGAGTTTAGGAGCCTATAAACTATCAAATTGTATTGTTGTAAAATTTTGGGATAGTGTACGTTTATGTCGTTTCCTTTAATATATCGTACCTCTGACCTCCTTCCTTATAAGCAACATGAAAGGCCTAAACCAGCTCACATGTAAGCAGTTTGATTCTGTGATCAAATGCTGTCGCGCTCTTGTCAAGCTGAGACTGCCGGAACGCTATGCTACAGCGCGTAAACCGTAACAAGCGGTAGGTAAAAGCGAAATGGTAAGTTGAATGCATTGATTCTACAATTATCA